ACCCATGCGTTTCGGTAACGCTTCCACTACGTTGTCCGGGTTTGGTTTGGAAGGAAAAGCCTATCGGCTTACTGATGTCAGCCCAACAACTTTTAAGAGACAGGCGAGCGGGGTTCTCGCTATGCTCTTAATTCCTTACGACATGTACACAAGGCAATGGCTATTAGACAAGACGACCAAAAGTAACAAGCTAATATCAAACGCAGAAATTGTATTGAAAGTTATGAAGTTGGAGACCTAATATTACTTAATTTTAAGAACCTACCTAGGAAGGTCAGCGGTCTGCAGGACCAAGTTGCGTCCTCGCTTTATTAAGATGTCTACGGTTGTGGTTAAGAAGGGCCTAGCGTACACGCTCAACCTCTCCACAAGATGCGAACACACCTAGTGTTTACGTCGGCTTGCCTAATTTTGATTTTTCGATCCGTCACTGGTTAACGAGGCGCTTCAGCCGAAAAAAGTTGGCGCTGCCACAAGTCGAGAAACCCTCAAGAGAAGATCCAGTTGTCCTCAAAGACGCACCACCCGGTCACAAAGACCATGCCTCCTTGTAGCGCATTTTTACCAATTGTATGCCTTTATGCACCCGCCTACTATCAGTGGCACATGTTCACTAGTCCACAGATCTTGATTCCTCGTGTGGTAGCACTTGAGCGACACAGAGAGCATGTTTATTCTTGTTGGCTACCCTCTCTATGCGCTAGGATAAAGATTTTGCGCTGTAAAATATTTATTATTGTCGAAAAATTCGCTATAGCCCCAATATTAGCGTTCGACGGCCGCCTTTCGGGTCGACAATGTGGCAGCCTTTTCTGCAAGAAGTCATTTTAATCATTTTTATGGTTTTTTGGATACATGCCGTCCCACCCGCGCAGTGCGTTGATCTGCGTAGTAGTTCGAACGTAGTGGTCAAAAGTGCTCTTTAAAGTGAAGCTGATCCGTTCTATGATAGCCCTCGCTTGATGCATGCTGTGACAGTTTCAACCTTATCGTCCAAGGCTGCCATATCGTGGTCAGCTACCGCCTACGCTAGAGCAATGGCCATACAATTCAAGAATGATCTTGTGGTTGCTGATCGATTTCCGATCGCCTCTTCAGTACCAGACAAAGTCCTCGCTTGACCGACAGCACAGCTGGCCATAGAAAGAGGTAGACCATAACGTAAAAATTTGTCTTGGACCGCTGCAGCCAAATCTGCATATTCACGTATCCGTAGCATAGTCAGTCATGGTATCGCTAGCAGTTTAGGTAGTGTCACTGCAACGAGGTGCAACCGCGCCTTTCTAAAAGGCAGGGATCTTGAGAGAATGATGTCGATCGTGGCCTGGCTCAGAAAACTTCAGTGGAACCGTAAGAGAGGGTGTTAAGTCTTCTGGGGAGCACTCGTCGTAATTCTCATCACTATCAGACCCGTCCGCGAGATCTTATAAACGAGATAATCTGGTAAAAATTTTCATGACTAATACATGGTTGCCATGGATAAAATCGCCGTCTTTGACGAAAAGTAACGCCACCCGCGTTATTTTAAAATTTGACTTTATGGGTTAATCAGTAGATCGTGGCTAGGAATATTGGTCGGTGTTCACTGACCATGGAATAAAACTACAGGTCCCGTAGCCGCCCACAAAGTGGTTCTACAGCTTCCTGCGTCTTGTCATTCTTCTTCGCCTACATACGGAGACGTAGGCAGGCCATTTGGTAATATTCCTAGTGCTGGCAAAGGAAGTTGCCAGATTTTAAAACCCCAAAACCCTTTCTTGGCGGATACCCTGCTGCCCTGAACGTTCATCTGCGGTATAGAATAGTGACACCTAGTCATATTGTGCTTTAAATATCGACAATGTAAACATACGGGCACCGCTTTAACATCTGGATGCTTAAAAACGATTTCTCTCCGTACTGAATAATGCAGACTTTACCTTGGAGAAAGTTAAAGCACCCCGTCAGGATCACTGAGAGTCGCCAGACTCTTGATGTCCGCGATTTGGGGGTAAGATCGTCCATATCTTTCAACTCGAACTCTGCTGCAACATGCACTTGCAAGTAAGCCGTCAGAGGACAGCTTTCATCAAACGAGTCACGTTGTGCAGATCCACAGTATATACCCGTTCAATGACCATCCGAGTTCCATCGTTCTTCAGCTAGCGAGCCTAGACTGCCCTAGTGCAGCTTATGCATGTTGCTGATACCGTACACTATCCTCTTTTAAAATACAGTAGCCAACTAGTACTTGAACACAATTACCCTGTTGTTAACACAAAAGTAAATCCGGTGGTGAACAGGATCGAAACTGATGGTCTTGGCCACATTGAGTAGCCTTCGGATCTCTGCTTAAATGACCTGCATTCTTCCATTGCTAACATAACATCTCCCTTTATCGCGCTTATGCTTTGCCTGCACACGCGAATGATTGTTCTACTGTTAAGCTGTTGCATCAGTTCTTCTTCCACTTGTGCTAATATAGTCCGGCACAATCGTAACTGCTTCTTTAGAATTCAAGTTACGCTTTTTAGCTGGACATAAGGCGGCCAAATAAACTACCGTCCGCGATACCGCTTATTTTTGTTTAGTTATCCTGAGTGCCAGTCCGTAACCCACAACTAATCGGTGCTGCTTCCGTTTAAGAAATTGCTTCCGTAGGTTAACCACCTTGCTGTCTAGGCAAGCACATAATCTGCCACGCATTACCTTTACACACCTTCAGGCGCCTGCAAGGTAGCGTTCTTACCGTCCTCTCTTGCGTACAGTAATGTTTCGGTTGACGTCTTATGACTGTCTACCCCATAATTGTAAGCTTGGATTGAGTGTGGCACGGACACGGTTTCCCGTCCTCGGCACGAATGTAACAAAATTCAAATTAATGAATGCTTTCTTTTCAGTAAACTGAACCGAAATACAAATTGTGGCCGGCTAAAAGACAAAAGACGAGACGCGTGATCTAATGTGACGCCTTCTTTAGTGACTTAATTGAATTTTGTTAAGTAGTGACGTCATCCGTGTGTAACACACGCTACGTAGTGGGTACGCTAATACTAAACCCCGACCACACGAACGGTCAAAGTGCGTACCGCACTCAAAACCTTTTTCAGACTTTTCCGTTGCCTTTACACGGAAATTCTCGTGAAACTGTTTGACCCCGTTAGAATGTTGTATTTTGCGGGGTATGCATAAAATCCAGGTAGTGTCCCCGAGACACTTTCGTGTTGCTGGCTCCACCACGTGAGTCAGCATGAGATGATTGATTAAGTTTTCTCCTTCATCGATCCGCACCTTGCTCAAAATTTCGTAGCTGTACCTTATTGTGAAGGTTTTGTTGTATTAAAAAGATCGAAGAGTATCCCACGCATAACACGCAAACTGTGCCGTTTTCATCATAGTCTGTGGTACGTTGGAGACAATAACTCCACGATGATAGCCAAAGCCTTTAGATCGTCGGCTTTCCATGTGCTTGACTGCTGCAAGGGGTCTGGCTTGTCAACACGTTCTCACGAATTCTTTTCCGAGCAAGTGCCATTCGAGTAGTAAATTCCCAGAGGAAGTAGTTTTTATCGGTGAGAATTTCACCCGAGGTTATCGAGCTTGGGCTCATAACCTTTAGCAATTATTTACTCGCTTGTCTTCTGCAGCACAAAATTGAAAACGAATTATCGTTTAGCTTTCTCTGTAGGTCTCACTTACTTGTTGTAGTACTGCAAACATGTTTATATACTAGCTTCTAGAACTCCGTATCTAGAAGCTCAAACAAATGAAACCTTGGTGTATCAACTATTCGTGATAACAATTTCGTCCGCCAGTTGAACCCGCATTGTTCCAACACGCATATTCCCAATCGACGTAGGACAATGCTGTACGCAACTCCATCTCGTACACTGGTATCGTACTATACCTGAGTCGCCCTCTGTGCGTGATAGATCCAAGTGGCAATAGAGCCTCTGCCGACTATCACATATCTCGTCAAAATTGTGAACAGCAAATCTTATCGTCCCCGCAAAGTTTTGGGTAGCTTTATTTGCCGGACGGATTGCACTCGGCAATATTCTTAAAGGAACTGTGAGCAGTCGCGTACAGTGTAGCTACTGTTGCATTCCACGCTTCCCTAGGAGCTTGATGTAGAGCCGCCTTCAGTGCCGCAACCACGGCATCAAACATCTCTCAAGGGCGATCCTAGTCAATTTGGTGTCTCTAGGGCCCTTCATGCTCCTTGTCTCCGCTGTCAACACAATTAGAGTGCAACTCCCTTACAGAAAGAGAGTCTTTTCCTACTGTCGATGATACTGTAGTCTTAGGAGAAGAGTCCACTTGCACAGCATGTGCTCCGACAAGAGCTTTGGGCGTGTTGAGCCTGTTTCGTCTGGACAAGGCTTTGTTGTTTGCTCGTGCTTTTCTCTCCTTGTCTAATAGTGGTAGATGGTGTTTGTAACGGGGCACCCTGAAGCTTGTACTGATGACAGTGCAAACAAATTATTCTGATGATAGAATAAGGCGGTGCCGCGTAACTTCACGTACACTGGTACGTGCAGAGGAAGACGGTAAGAAGAAGCGAGTGCTTGGTTTAAGTAAAAAGTAGAAATGTATTTATGATAGTTAATGTCTGTTAATAAACCACTGTTTATCCTCATCTAACTATGTCTGAATACAAATGTGTGTGTATACCAACTATCTGCTCACCAGTCATTGCGTGCGTGTGTCGTGGCGCGTATTCTTTGGTTGATATAATGGCCTATATCAACCTATTAGGAACTACTCGTAAGTGCTGCAGAATATTTGTCCTTATGACAATATTATGAAAACTTAACTCTCATAGTTATATTCTATTATCAATTTCTTAAAAATTGTTACGCAACGGTTCACCCCGTTACATCACCCCCCCCCCTTAACCATCAGTCACTTAAGTGACTGATTGACTGAATGGATACTCGTCCCATATCATCTTAGACGAAGTTTGCACTTGTTGTTCCGAGTCCACAGTCCATCTGTTTCATCGCATGGTAAACAAGTCCATGCGGTACGCGAACAAGGCCTATGAGAGCGCATCTGCATGTCTCTGTGCAGACGCCGAAGCTGAAACCGCTGCGGCCGATGTGTCATCGGTTGCTAAAGCGTCTCAGCCTGGATCACCTGGTGATGCAGACGCTCGTCATGAAGACACTCCTGTCTTTACAGAGTATGAGCTCGGAGTCTCATACTCTCCTGATGCGGAAGACGGATCCGTATCGACGGCGATCGAATCCAAGCCACCTGCCAAGCGTGGCATGAATGATGCTATGCGTCGCAGCATCTTTGGTTCATCTGACGAATCAGATAAACCATCGGCAAAGCGAAAGCGCTCGAGATCGCAAGGCTCGGGCGATCACAGTGATGTCGGTTCTCCTGTTGACATCACTTCGCAACGAGTTGCCAGTACTTCTGTCGGCACGTCGCAGGAAGAGCGGGACCGCAATGTGTTGCGTCTCGCTCCCGAAAAGAAGGCATGGCTGCCTCCTAAGTCAGTCATGGATCACTTGTCGGCGACGACAAGTGATCGTTATCGAACACGGTTGTTCGATCCGTCAAAGATCCATCACCTTGACCCCAGCGCGAAAAACTATCGCGCTGAGCATGAGTTCTTTATCGATGGTTTCTTTAAGCATCGATGGTACAGTGGGAATCACAAACGTGATGGTCCCTCACTGCTTCAAGCGTGGAACGCTTACATCCCCAACCTTGAGGATGTAGGTCGTGGCGTTTGGAACGACAAACTGATTAAAGCTCGTGATGAGTTTGAAAAGCGAACCCCGACAGGTGCACGCTATAAGCTGCATCTTCTGTCTAGGGAGAGTAAGTTACACACAGTCTCTCCTGGGGAGACCCGTGCCCTTGTTGTGTGAACAACTCTGCGCGCGCACCCTATGAGTCTTACCTCCTTACTAGCCCGTGGTGGCGCGTACGTATCTCTACTGAGATGTACGAAGGGATTGACAACCTGAAATCCCTTTATGAACGTGCGATAAGACTTTCTACGGCTGTCCTTCTGCAGCACAGGATGTGCCACGTCGTACTGCTCAATTAGACCCAGTACGTCAATCATCAGTTGGGAGCGGGGCTCCCATGTATCCCAGGACGGGGGATAGCCGCGCCACCGGACGAGGTAACTCGTCCGACGTCCGTTCACATCGCGGTGGTTCAACAGCCGCTCAACCAGATAGAGCTGGCCACCGCGAGAGTCCTCTAATGGAGGTGGAGGAGGAGGAAAGACGCTCTCCACACGATCATGTGGATCGGTGTGTTCCCGAGAGCTTCTTTGATCGCGTAACGCAAGGGTTACGCGACGATCTCGAACATGAGCGGAATAGGCGTCTCCAAATGGCGGACACTGCCTCGAAGCATCGAGCTGAGTTTGCCTTTGCTCAGCTTGAGAACGAGAGATCTCTGACATCTCTTCGTGACGAGCTAAGGGTAGCTCGTGGGATTGTTGATCGGTCTCGGGATGAGATAGCTGCTCTTCAGACCCTTGTCGATGCCCACCATCGGGAGCACAAGGCTCTCTGCGAGATGCTAGAGCGCAAGGGCGTTCTTCATCGGAAGAAGCAGCGTACTGATGGTACGACTTAAGCCGACCAACGTAAAACGTGGGATGCGTTCGCATCTTACGTGGCAGTTCGATCGTGTATGTGTTGCCTAGGCGATGCAATACACGAAATGAGCCGATGTGCCTGGGTAGAAATTTACTACTACCCACGTTAGTCACTACATGCTTTGGTAGATTAACCGTAGACAGTAGGACTAAGTCACCTTTATTAAATAAAAGAGTGTTTGCCCTTCCATTCTTGTCTGCGTTTTACTTCTGCTTATCCACCGCTTCGGCGATGGAGTCTTGCACAAAACGGACTACCGTTTCACGAGCCAGTATGAACTCATCTGCTGACTCGTTAGATTCAGTGCACTGTGAGTGCACTGCAGCAACATCAATCGTTTTTTCAGTGAGGGCTCTTGCACTCTCACTGGCATCATCTTCTTCGATATCGATGTTATCGATATCGGCATCAAACACAATGACCTCTTTGTCAGAGCGTGATGAGCTTGAACCAAATCGGTTTTTGCTCGCGCGAGTCCCTCCCCCCCTTTAAACCAGAGTTACACTCTAGTAAGGTGGGTACACGCGGATGGCGCAAGCCATTCACGTAAAACGGTGTATGTGCCATGGAAGCATGCACCAAGTTGTTAATGGCAAACTCTACCATGGGCAAAAACTCACTCCAACTCTTAAAGGAGTGTACGTATCCTCGAAGTATCTCTTCGAGGACACGATTGGCTCGTTCCGTCTGACCATCTGACTCTGGATGATCAGATGTTGACATCTTCAAGCGCGTTCCGAGTGATTTGAACACGGAGCTCCAGAAATAAGCAGTGAAGCGTGGATCTCTGTCTGATACGAGTTCACGGGGCAACCCATGAAGTCGGAAGATGGTGTCGATAAAGACACAAGCACAGCCACTTGCTTTGATTGACTCGGGTACAGCCACAAGGTGTACCATTTTGATGAATCTGTCAACAAATACGAGAATACCCGTAGTCCCGCGTGCGTCTTTGGGTAACCCGAAGACGAAATCCATTGAGATGGATTCCCAGCACTCTGCCAGAACTGGAAGAGGCTGTAAAGGCTCACGCAGTGAAGGACTTGACTTCACTCGTTGACAGACTTCGCATGCGCGGACATACTTGCGCACACACTGATACTGGCGGGACCAGTAAAAGTCTCGACTTACCGTGAGATATGTTTTCTCCCGGCCATGATGTCCTCCTATAGGAGCATAGTGATGCTCGAACATGATCCGCAAACGCAGATCAGTATCATCTGGAATGACAACACGTGGTGTGTCACCACAAACGGCTGTATAATACAGTAAACCGTTGCGAGTAGTGTATCGATCTGATGCAGATCGATACGCAGACGATAATCGTTTCAACGATTCTCGAGATGATTGTGAGAGATGTGTCAACAACTTCAAATCTCACCATCTTGGGCGTATGTCCGCCTCACATCATCATACAACGTTGAAGATGGTATTGAGGACGTCATAACCTCAACAGTGGCTGTCTCACGACTGGTTCAAAGTCGTGCCGACGTGAGAGTGCATCAGCGACGACATTAAGTCGTCCTGGCTTGTACTCTACCGTAACGTTGTATTCTGCAAATAATAACAACCACCGCGCCATTCGTTGTGAAAGGTGCGGGATGTTTACTGCCGTGCGTAACGACGCATGGTCTGTGGTAAAAAAAAATGAAAGGTCTATCTCCTAATAGATAGACTCTGAACTTCGCGAGTGCATACTTCATGGCAAAAAGTTTCTTGTCATGCACTGGATAGTTCCGCTCAGCTGGTTGCAGCTGACGCGACTGATAGCAGACGACGCTTTCAACGCCTTCAAGATCGTACTGCATTAATGCACAGCCGATTGCGAAATCGCTGGCATCACAGACCACATGAAATGGCCTGTCCTGATCGGCTATTGCTAGGACTGGGGATTGTATCAAGCTCTGCTTGATACCCTCAAAGGAGCGCTGACATTCAGCGTTCCATAACCACCTCTCGTTCTTTTTCAACAAACGAGAGAGGTGCACAGTCATCTCGGCGTAATTGCGTGAATACTTATGCAAATACGCCGCTAGCCCAAGGAATTTTCGAAGAACTTTGACATCAACCGGCACAGGCCAGTCGGTGATCGCCTTGATCTTTTTGGGATCAGGAAGTACACCGTTCTTACCAACGATGCACCCAAGAAGTGGTATTTCGCTTGCTGCAAATATACACTTCTTGAGGTTAGCATACAATTGATGCTTTCGCATGATTGTAAGAACTTGTCGGACGTGGTACCTGTGAACCTCAACGTCCGACTTTCCATCCATAGCTCGACTATGGATGAATACGTCATCGAAATAACTCGGCGCGAATTCTCGTACTGGTCTCAACAGATGTGATACACATCTGTTGAACGTGGCAGGGGCATTACTGAGCCCTTGTGGCATTACTAGCCATTCCCAGAGCATGCCGCTAGACGTGCTAACTGCGGTATAGTGTATATCCCGTTCTTGCATAAGGATTGGATAGAAGACATCCATCAAATCCATGGACGAAAAGATGGTACTCTTCGACATACCATCAATGATTACGTCCTTCCTTCGTATCGGCGTCTGAGCCGGTACCGTTGCAGAATTCAACTTGTTAAATGCATGCACTATCCGCCACCCTCCTGTTGCTTTTCGCACACAGAAGGTCGGAGAGCTATGTGGGGAAGTTGATTCACTCACATGGCCCGCAGCTAAACTATCGGCAAAGAACTTGTCGATCACAAGTACTTGCTCACGAGGCAGTGGCCACTGCTTCATGACACAGTACTTCGAGCCTGGTTTAAGCTCGACCTCGTGTCGAGTACCTTTATCCTTCGGTAATTCGCACGGAACAGTTTCAGGGAATACATCCTTGAATTCAACCAAATCTTCATAGAGAGGATTTGTCTTGAGCGATTCCCACGATTGGGAGTCATATCGCTCAATTCGTGTCTTTTCATCTAGGACACTCTAGTCCATAGATGAACTACTGAGAACTCTCTCGTTCTCAGTAAACACTGTTGCTGACCTTATGTCGGTTACACACTCGTCGTCAGCGACGAGTACGCAGATCTGCTTGACTTTGCCACTACGCAAATCACGCAAGAACCTTTTATGTTCGAGCTTTGGCAACTGAGTGATGTCCGAAGTTAACTTCGGAGGCGCAATCAGATCAAGTGTGTAAGCGCCCACACTTGATCCGTTATTGACTATGACATTCAATGTCTCTGTCATTTCCTGGGGACTTATTCCCTCAGGCTTCGAAGGACTTATTCCTTCGTCTTCCCGGGGACTTATTCCCGCGGGTTTCGGGGAACTTATTTCCGCCGTATTTGTAATCTTGGGACTTATTCCCTTTACTTCCTCTAGCTGGGGTTGCGCAACCACAGCGAGATCCTCTACGAAAGACTCTCCAGTCGATCTAGGATTATCGTTTCGCTTAACCTGAGCGATCGATTGTTTCTCTTCTAGATGTTCCCCGCTAGGGATACATCTTTGTCCCAGTCCACCCGACTTATTCGAGTGGTGGACCTTCGGCGCAGCCTGTGTTTCCTCACAGCCGCCGGAACTTTGCTCCGAAGTGTAACCGTTTGGTACACTAAGGTTTTGTGCAGTCGTACTAACGACCGTACCACAAGTGAGGCCATCGCACTCACTCGTAGTACATCCTCACGCTAGTGGAAGCTCCAAAACGTTCATCAGATGGCCATCTGATGAACAAGCGGCAGGCATCGTTACTGTCCGATGTTGCCAGTTTACTCGTGTTTCGTACCTTCTGAGCCACGGTATTCCAAGGATGACATCAAATTTGTCATCCAAATCCAATACGATGAAGTCATCGTCATATTGGGTATCTTCTAGCGTATAGTGGATCTTCACTATACGCTTCATGACGGTTACGGATGCGCCTGTCGCAAGACTTACCGTCATTCTCGTAGGCGGTGTGTCACATTCATCAAACTTGAAGTGACCATCTTCTAGCTATTGGCGTCGCACAAAATTGTTGGACGCCCCACAATCGACTAGAGCTCGAAGGGACAACTTATTCGTCACTTCGAATTTCAAGGTAATGAGTGAGACCTCATTACCTAGAGCAGCAACGCACAACGTTTGTGTGTCCTGTCCGTTTTTTGACGGTCCATCCCGTTGTTGCGTCTTTGCACCAACTGCGGACCCTCGTCCCGGCCCATTTCTCATGGGTGGACGGTCACTCTGCCCAGTGTCGCGAGACACTGGACGAGGGGCACTACACTCGTAAGCGTAGTGTCCTGTCTTTTGACATCTGTTGCATTTCTGCAACTTCTTGTAGTCTGTAGATCGAGCCTTCTCGCTCTCTACATAACAGAGTTCCATCGGCTCTGGACCTCCGCTGTCATATCGTCTCTGTGCACGATATGATGTCGAGCTGGCGCGAGCCTGTCTCAGACTGAAGTCTTCCTGTTCCGCAATGGAAACGGCTTGTTCTAGTGAATCTAGTTCAAGCCGGAACAGGTGAGTCTTGACGGGACCATCCGCAAGACCCTTCATGAACACCGAAACCAACGTGTGTTCATCCACCAGATTGGAACTTATACAACTCGTAAGATGTCGTGTATGTTGCGCGTAAGCGTGCACATCACGCTTACCCTGTTTGAGCTTTAAGAGTTCGGTTCGAGCTCTGAACTCAGCTCCAGGCAGTTCAAACGTTTGTCTGAGCCGCGACTTGAAGACTTCCAACGACCCAAACGCATATGGGTCGTGCAACTTGAGCCCCAGTGCCCAAGTCTTGGCACGTCCTGCCAGATTTGACTGGGCAAATGCAACTTGCATATCCCCATCGTCGATGCGACGCGGCCTTATGGCGCCGTCCAATTCGACGAATTATCTCAAGAGGGAGTCCTCTTCGACTCCCCTGTACTTGGAGATGTCAATCTTCAAGGTCTCGGGTCGACGCGAGTGCATCGACCCACCAGCAGCAGCCTGCTGCTGTCGCAACAGTTCAAACTGTTGAGCACCCTGTTCTCTCAACAACTCTGCTTGTTGAGAACCTTGTTGGTGAAGCAAGGCTACTTTCTCGCGTTCTGCGTCAAGTTCATTTTGAATAAACTTGGCGATAGTAACATGTTGGGCATCTCTATTGAGAGTCTCTAGCATGACGCTAACAGCATGGATGCCCATGGTTGAACCCATTCGTTCAACCGCATCCCATTCAACGTCGCTCAAATGAGAGTAGCCGTCACGCGTAGCGTGAAAGCTTTGGTCATCTTCATCATCCAACATATTCATGTTAGATGTGAACGTGGTCCTTGGACGGACTACGAAGTGCTACCAGGTGTAACGGAGCACCCTGAAGCTTGTACTGATGACAGTACAAGCTACTTATTCTGATGATAGAATAAGGCGGTGCCGCGTAACTTCACGTACACTGGTACGTGCAGAGGAAGACGGTAAGAAGAAGCGAGTGCTTGGTTTAAGTAAAAAGTAGAACTGTATTTATGATAGTTAATGTCTGTTAATAAACCACTGTTTATCCTCATCTAACTATGTCTGAATACAAATGTGTGTATACCAACTATCTGCTCACCACTCATTGCGTGCGTGTGTCGTGGCGCGTCTTCGTTGGTTGATATAATGGCCTATATCAACCAATTAGAAACTACTCGTAAGTGCTGCAGAATATTTGTCCTTATGACAACATTCTGTGAATATAACTCTTATAGTTATATTCTATAATCAATTTCTTATAAATTGTTACGTAACGGTTCACCCCGTTACAGTATTGGTTTACCCAGATTTGGCGGTCTGTATCGAAGCTTGGATGGCATTTCCTCTAAATCTTATGAGCCGAGCCCAGAAGATTTTGGCCTGTCGCCGATAGGTCTACCTCATTCGGCCGCGAAGGACTTTCCATGGTGGTAGTAAGTTGTCCTCCAAAGCCTGGCAGATTGTACAAAGCTATCAGGGAAGTTCAAAATACGATGCTATTTGAAAGATAACCCGTCACACAAAGTATGCAGTACATCCGACATTTATCGACGACTGATATTTCAAATTATTGTTATCACGATAGATGACACTATCTACTTTTTGACTGATATTGTCGTTTTTGCTGCTCGAGGCTGATACGACGTTCCTTCATAAAGCTTTTGCTGAATTGAGGAACGTGCTAGAAGTCGACAATGCGCCCCGAGGTTTTAAGAAGATGAGATATTAAAAAAAAATGGATATCTTACTGAACAACGCCAAGCGAAACAATCTTCTTTTTGTGCAGCTCTCATATTCTATGTGACGGTTTTTTTATTGAAGCTACAACACAGCAAGCAAAAAAAACATCAGCTGGATTTATCCAGGCCAAGAACACGCCCATAGCCGGTTCACCGTAAATGCGGGCGCAGCGGATTTAAATTATAAAACCTCTGTGAAGTAAAGTTGGTAAAGAACTGCCTCTGGTGGCACCGGATGTAGATCCACACTTTCGCGTAGCACAATGCAAAGCATCATTTGTTAATCATACATAATAAAGGCTATCCGAACACCTGCGCTACTGTCGATTGCACCGACTTTTACTTGCCTCGACATGACGACGACTGTGTTTATTCAGCTGTCGGCCTCGGATGGGAAGGAATGTGTTAAGGTTCTGGGGTCGTCGATAAGGATGTGCAGACACCGGCAACGATTACCCGAGAGTTTTGTCACAACTGGGCTGTGTTGTCCTCGGTAGTCGTGTTGTCGCGCGGAAAGTGCATTCCCGAGAGCATGACAAGACACCAGACAATATTAGTGAAGAGGGTTTCGACAAAGTAGTCTGGATCGGCTACTCAACATCGAGTCTTGTTTTTTGCACTCGAAACAGATTACCCAGTAACGTCAAGACGACGCGACATGCCTGTTAAAGCAGAGACTGTCGTCACAATTTGACGAGGTGCACACGATCGCTTCCCGTTGTTTTACTGGTACAATGTCGCGTGGAGCTACTAGGTAGGCTCAAACTCGTCCTCGTATTGATGTATGTGCCAATCGCAAAGCTTCACAGCATTTCAGTGGAGAATGTCGAAGTCAAGAAGTTAGCACCCTTAAGCTTTTTTATAACAGCTGAGGCGTCCCACCTGTTGTAGCGTATAACAACTGTGTTACATTAAAGGTTGAAGAGGGACGATCAACGCAGATTGGCGACGCGGTCCTTTCCACAGATTTAATCAGCTGATCAACATCAGGGCATATGTGACTATTCAGCTTGGTGCTACGATCACACGAAACAGATCACCGGAGATAGTAGTAATGACGCGACACGCGTCTCCAAGCAGATACTATCGTTGCAATCTGACAAATGCTTACCATCGCTTCCCGTTGTCTCACAGCATCCGATATCGTGTGTAGCCAGTTGGTTATAACAAGGTCGCTGCATCGTGCGTCAACTGTGTGAATCGAGGTCACGGTCATTAGTCATCTTCGCCGGTGTCTGCAACTTTGTTGGAATGCTGATTTCCAGTGTCACCGCACTGACTGCGGTCTGTCTGGCCTTGCCACTGGCGATCGTGTCCGCCAAGAAATCTGACCTAAATGGCTGGTACCCGTGCTCGGACAACACGTTTTCCGACATGGGGAGCTCGACTGGCGGTGTTGCTGAGTGCGCGATCTACAGAGCACCTTTATGCTACCCTGGAATCTGTGAAACCCCGCCATCGGTGGACTCGACTGTCGATATCTTTGTCAAGCAGTTCCCAGCTACGTTCGAAGACCCTGCTATTGCGACGAATGTGTGGTTTGTCCAAGGTGGTCCAGGTGACTCGTCGAGCTCACGTACGTTGTATTGTGCCTGCATTTCCGCATACTATAAACTGACATTAAGCTCTTGTTCTTCGGTCTCTTCAATGCAGTGGAATCGACCATGACCTATCTACACTATTTACTCGAAGGAAAAGCTAACATTATCACGATGGACCATCGTGGTACGGGCCGCAGCACGCTTCTGGACTGTGTGACAGCTCAAGCTACTACTACTGGCTCTCCTTTTGGCAGCGAGATTGACCCGTCCGAAGTCGCTGCGTGTGCGCAGGATCTCAAGTACAAGTACGGTGACCTGTCTTCGTTTTCCATGACGACGGCTGCCACTGACATTGCGACGTTCATCTCCGAGTATACGAACGGCAAAAGCACTATTGTCTACGGCGTTAGTTACGGAACGGCGCTGGTAGAACGTCTGATGCACTTGAAGACTCCGACGGTAATCGGGTATGTCCTGGACAGTATTTTGACGACCTCTGCAGCACCAGATGACAAGTTTCCGTACGTTTCGACCATCGACCGCAGTGCCGGGGAGGTGGGCGACGCGTTCCTTGATCTGTGCATCGACGACGACGAGTGCAGTCGATACTTTAAGGCTGGCAGTCTTTCTGCTTCCCTACGTCATCTGGTTGAGAAGTTTGACAAGGAACCGAACTCGACCTGCGCCCAGCTGGTAAGCACACAAGGGGCCCAGACTGGCAACACACCATCATCGTCGCTTCGTGGCTCCCTGGGCGGGATGCTAGCTGATCCAACGTGGCGAGCGTTCATTCCACCGTTGATCTACAGACTGACTCACTGTACGAAAGGAGATCGCCTCGTCTTGATGCAACTCTTCGCAAGTCTCGAATCGTTTGCATATACGAGCAGACAGGACAACGCGTATGCGTCGACTCTTTTATACGATCTAATTGTCTTCTCCGAATTGTGGGAAACGCCCGCACCGTCTTTTCAAGTGCTGAAGAAACGTACGAAAGACGCGACAATGTACGCGGGTTTTAACACGGGGACGTACAAGGTGAATGAGTTGTACTGCGCTTATTCCAAGGAGAAGTCTCCGACTTGTGACGGACTTGAACTGGACAACAATGGCTCAAGTGCCATCATCTACGAGCGCGACCGATATTGGAACAAGACTGCCGTCATTCCAAGGCATGCCAGTGTGTTGCTAATGAGTAGCAAACTGGATCTTCAGACTCCTTACAAGTACGCTGAGGCTTTGTTCGAAGGGCTGGTGGGTTCCAACAAAGAACTAGTTACTTTCGAGTATGCTACCCATTGCGCCATCGTATCGACCCCGTTTGGCGAGTCCGGAGAAATTTGCGGAATGAATTTGTTGGTGTCGTACGTGAAGAATCGTGGAAACCTCGATCGTCTTGACAAGTCGTGCTTGGACAAGATGCCAGCGCTGAATTTGACGATACCGACAGACGTTCGAACGGAATACTTGGGTACACAGGATGTGTATAACGGCAAAACGACAAGAGCTGGAACCCCTCGTTCTACAAAGTATGACGGTAGCGTTCCCCATCGATAGTTACCAGTATAGTACATGTACAACCTTGTCGTATTAGCAATGGTAGGGCACACTTGATCACGCATTGAATGCCTTCGTTATGCGTGGTGTGCCGGTCTGCAATGCTCGCGAATGCAAGATTTTGCACAATGGCGTGGTCTTCATTCTCTCGCTGCATCTTCACGGACGTAACACGCAAGTTCTTTTTCAAGTATCGAAATCAAAATTAACGCAAAAGAACAAGTCAAGCGGTAGGACTTGGCTGCGGTGGACAACAAGATGCTCGTAAGAGCATCCTACGAAAATTTCTGAGCTAGATCCGCCGTTACGTCCAAACGTGTAAGTCATTGTTCTCAGAATTATTGATGGGGTTAAGCTGATGTGTGTATTCATGGAGCTCTTTCATACCAACCCAAGGCCCCTTGAGTCTAAACGGAATTGCGACGGGGTAGCCCTTTGCATGATATTGACACCAAATGGCGTCAATTGGAATTATTGTCTAGTATGACAATTTTCTGCCAAATTTACCCAAGATTGGTAATATTGAAGGAGTGTTATCCCCTTGTAGGATAAAATATTCATGCGCCGCTCAAAGATTGGTTGATTTAAGACATATCAACCATAGATTGCCACTAGTCGCTGCTAGACGCGCGTTATGAGTGGTGAGCAGGTTGTCGTCATAAGAAATGTAGATTAATAGAGTTAGATATAGATTTAAGTTGTATTGACGGCTTAACTATATCATATACAGTTCTCTTTTCACCTTTACCTGACCGAGTCGTTCAAGCAGCTTAGCTTCCTCTGCACGTACTAGTGTACGTAAAGTTTCGCGGCACCCCAAACAAAGGGTGCCCGTTACACCTAGTAGCGCTTTGTAGGCCGTCCAACGACTACTTTGTGTCGGTCCAACATGAACATGTTGGACGTAGAAGAAGACAGCTTTCACGTCACACGTGAAGGCTACTCCTATCTGAGTGACTCAGAATGGGAGGTAGTCGGCCGCATGATTGTGCTTATGGGCGAACCCGCCATCAGTGGTATGTTGGAGTCTCTAAGCAGAGACCAGCAACATGCTGCTATCAACAAGTTCTTACAATCGGAACTTGCCGTCGAAAGACGGAAGATAGCCTTGCTACAACAGCTAGTCTCTCATCAGTCGATGGGCGGGCCGACGCACATGCGTCGATCTAAAACCTTGAAGATTGATGTCTCAAGGTACAAGGGAATTGATGAATATTCCATTTTGAGATGGTTCGTCGAGTTAGAAGATGCCATCAAGGCCCGTCGCATCGAGGGTGACGAGATGCAAGTCACCCTGGCCCTGTCAAATTTGACGGGACGAGCAAAGACTTGGGCCTTAACGGTTAAGCTTCACGACCTAAACGTGTTTGAGTCGTTGTAGATCTTGGAGTCTCGGCTCAAAGAGACGTTTGAGCCGCCGAGAGCCGAGTTCAGAGCACGCTCTGCACTCCTGAGGCTAAAGAAAGGTAAGCGTGACGTGCACGCTTGCGCACAGCACCTACGCTACCTTGCGAGTAGCATCACGGAAAACCCTGTTGATGAGCACACGCTTATCGACGTGTTATCTACGGCCTTGCAGATGAAACGGTGAAGACCTGCATGTTCCGAGAGGACTTCTATACGCTGGAAAAGGCGATAGCGTGTGCGGAACAAGAAGACTTCAGCCTGAGGCAATCTCAGGCTAACTCGTCAAAATGTCGTCCGACAAGACGACAGAAATCAGAAGGTCCCGAATTGATGGACCTCTGTTACATCGAGAGCGAATACTTTCGCTCTCTGAGTCACAAGCGAACGGCAAGATGTCATCGCTACCAGAAGATCGAAAACTACAATTATGTGTGTAGTTTCCCAAGCACCACATCACGTCCAAAGACTGAACGTGATGACCGCCTATGGCCGAGAAAAGGTCCAAGGTGCGGGTACATCCGTTTCGTTAAACCGCGACAGTAAGTAGGGCCGTCAAAAAACGGACAGGGTCAGTAGGGTAGGAGGACCCTGCTGATACAGCAACTTCGAGAGAATTTGCAGGACTCTTGACGAAGAGTGCCCCCAACACGCAGTCTCTGTGTGTTACTGCCCTTAGTGATGAGGAGTCTCTCATCACTTGGAAGATCGAAGTGACAAGTGGAATATCACTTCGCGCCTTAGTTGACTGTGGTGCGTCGAACAGTTTCATTCGACGCCAGTCGCTAAGGGATAGTAGGCACAACTATGTTGAGCGAGAGTTCCCTCCAACGAGGATGACGGTGTGCCTCGCTACAGGCGCATCCATAACAGTGAACAAACGTGTAGTGGGAATCCACTATACGCTAGAAGGAAAACAACACAATGATGACTTCATCGTACTGGATTTGGATGGCAAATTTGATGTCATCCTTGGTCTTCCATGGCTTTGAAAGTACCAGCCATGGATCAGTTGGCAGCATCGATCCGTGATGATGCCTGCCGTTTGTTCATCAGATAGCTATCTGATGAACTCTTGGAGCGTCCACAAGCGTGTGGATGTACTACGAGTGAGTGCGATGGCCTCACTTGTGGTACGGTCGTTAGTACGATTGCACACGATCACAGTGTAGAATGCCACAGCACTATGGAACCAGCTTCCGGAACCTGTGTAGAGACACAGGCTGCGCCGAAGGTTCACCACTCGAAGAGATCGAGTGGAGTGGAATGCGGATGTACACCAAGAAGGGTGCATCACAGAATAGAGATTAGTGTTGTTCAGGATGGAAAACACGTTGAAGCGAGATCGACTATCAGAAAGTCGATCGAAGAGCAAGCACGATCGACTATCAGAGAGTCGATCGAAGAGGACGTGACCGTGATAGAACACGTATTGGAAGAAAGTATCAGCGTTCCTGAGAGTGATAACTCCCGATAGAGTTATGTTGAGGGTATGGATCCCCAACCACCTGCGGATGGGTTTCCCAGGAAATCACCGAGTCAGTGAATGTCATGGTGAATGACGGATCGAGTGTAGGCGCTTATAAACTTGATCTGGTTACACCTCCAAAGTCAGATTCGGAGGTAATCAAGTTGCCAACGCTAGAATCTAAAAGATTCTTGCGAGATCTGCGTAGTGACAAGATCAAGAAGATCTGCGTAGTCGTCACAGAGGACGAGTGCGTCGCCGATATTCGGTTGGCACAAGTGTTTGCTGAGAGCAAACGGGTTTTCAGTGGTTCATCTATGGACGAGAGTGTCCTCGATGAGAAGACTCGGATTGAGCGATACACGTCTCAATCTTGAGAGTCTCTAAAGACAAATTCTTTGTATAAGGTTGTGTACAAATTCAAGGATTTTCCCGGAATCCGTGTCATGCGAGCTGCCCAAGGACAAAGGCACTCGGTATGAGATCGAACTGAAACCCGGTTCGAATTACTGTGTCATGAAGCAGTGGCCACTGCCTCGTGAACAAGTACTTGCGATCGACAAGTTCTTTGCCGATCGTTTAGCGGCTGGTCATGTGAGGGAATCAACTTCCCCACACACCTCTCCGACCTTCTGTGTGCGAAAGGCCACAGGAGGATGGCGGATAGTGCACGCGTTAAACAAATTGATCGCTGCAACGGTACCGGCTCAAACGCCGATACAAAGTAAGGACGTAATCATGGATGGTATGGCAAAGAGTACCATCTTTTCGTCCATGGATTTGATGGATGGCTTCTATCAGATCCTCATGCTTGAACGGGATATCCCTTACACAGCAGTGAGCACCCCGAGTGGTATGCTCTGGGAGTGGCTAGTGATGCCACAAGGGCTTAGTAACGCCCCCGCAACGTTTACGGATGTGTTACGAACCTGTTACGATCGGTGCGCGATTTTGCACCGAGTTTCTTTGACGATGTCTTCGTCCATAGCCGGGCTATACATGTACAGACGGACGTGGATGTTCATAGAATCTACGTCCGGAAGGTTCTTACACTAATGCGAGAGCATAGCTTGTTCGTGAACCTCAAGAAGTGCATATTCGCAGCGAACGAAACACCACTTCTTGGCTGCATCGTGGGTAAAAACGGGGTGCGCTCTCATTTGGAAAGGATCAAATCGATTAGCGACTGGACTGTGCAAGTCAACGTCAAGGGACTTCGAAAGCTCCTTGACTTGGCGGCGTACTTGCACAAATACTCGCGCAACCATGCCGAGATGACCGTACATCTCTCTTGTCTGTAAAAAAAAACAAAAGTTGGTCATGGAGTGCTGAGTGTCAACACGCCTTTGAAGGTATCAAGAAAAGCTTGATATAATCGCCTGTGTTGTCAATTGCAGACCAAGACCCACCTTCGATGTGGTCTGTGACGCCAGCGATTTCGCAATCGACTGCGCGTTCATGCAGTACAACTCAGACGGCGTTAAGCGCGTCGTCTGTTATCAATCGCGTCAGCTGCAAGCAGCTGAGCGAAATTATCCGGTGCATGACAAGGAATTCCTTGCCATGAAATTTGCACTGGCTAAGTTTCGGGTGAATCGCTTAGAAGATAGACCCTTCATCGTTTATACCGACCATGCGTCATTACGCACGGCCGTAAACAGTCCACACCTCTTGCAAAGAATGACGAGGTGGCTGTCTTTCTTTGCGGAGTACAACTTCTCCATCGAATGTAAACCGGGACGACTTAATGTCGTCGCTAATGCTCTTTTGCGTCGGTTCGAATTCGAGATAATTGCTCAACACAACAGTAGAGTTGATCTTATTGTTGCAACACTATCAGTGAGTAATCTGTCCTCAATTCTGCTCGACGACGTGCGAAGAGCATACGCAGAAGATAAGTCTCTTCTGCGATTGATGGATTATGTAGCCAATCCGTGTATTTAAGCTTTGAAAAGCTTGTCTTCTTAATACCGCTCCTCAACCGAACGGTATTCTGTCCGTGATGGACTGCTGTACAATACAGCAGTCAGAGGCTACACACCTCGTGTCAGCGTTCCCCCTTATGATAATTTGCGATTGCGCATCATGTATGAGTGTCAAACAATGCCCCAACAAGTGCGCATCGTGGTAGGGAAAAGACTTACCTCACAGTGAGTCGTGACTTCTACTTGCCCCGCCAGTATAAGTTTGTGCGGAAATACATTCGCGATTGCGAAGTTTGTCAAAGGGTGAAGCCTAGTCTTTCATCCCACGCACCCTTCCGGCCTCTTCCGATTCCGGCAGAGTATTGGAAGTCCGTATCGATGGACTTCGTCTTTGGGTTTACCAAAGACGCTCACAAGAATACTGACGTCCTCGACACCAAGGAATTTGGCTAGAGCCTTATCTTCCAGTAGGTGCCCAGGTCGGTCCATGTGAGTGCGTTACTTTGTAACGAGTCTCAATGGGAGAATGAGTCGAGTGACGTTTGTGGTAACGTCACTCTGGTGGGGGAGGGTGTAACGGGGTCACACTTTGGCTGAATTGGTCAAAGACCTCTTATAAATGATACGGATGAATGTGTGTGACCTTAGATTTTATATCAGCAAGAGAATATCGATTGATCGATATTCCCAGGTTTACGGTACTTACCGTGTACGTACTTTGTACCGTCATCGTATGATGACTGAGTGGAGTGGCAACCATCCATTTAGTTCGAATGCTGATTATTGTAATTCGGAGGATACATAAAGTAGGATTTTCCTTGATATCAAATCTAAATAAAGTTCAGTTCTCATTTTGAGCAGAAGTCCCTAGACTTCGCCCCCTTTCACACCTTGAGTTTGACATTTCCTTAGAACTGTTGTGGGTTAGAGAGTTTTTTTACTCCGGTATTCCCCTTTCGCACATTGTGCGTGTAGTTCTTTAGAACTACAGTAGCTGAGCTGTTAGCTCGTAGAGTCCACTCCGAGTTCCGTAGAACTGGGTGACTCTTTACCTTTATATTTTAGTTCCGTAAAAATAATAGGATGTCAGCCGTAAGCCGTTGGCTTGTTGAATAAGTCTTCCTCTGACTTAAAGAGCTGTGTAGCTCCGCTACACCCCTAGCGTTGCCATCCAGTACGTCATCATATACTTCATTTTCAGCAGAGACACTACTGTAAACCTTAGCAATGCAGTCTTGGTACGACTGAATCAACAATCGATCAGCCTCACCGACAACAAAGAGATGCAGTTGCTGTATCGTAAAGTCACGCGTTTGTTCCAATGATTCATTAAACGTCCTGGCGTGGCCATCACAATATCAACAGCACTCTGTCCGCCATGCACTACCTCCTTCTAGTTCTGTCAAAAAACATGTTCAGCACCCACAAGTGCACGATGTTCGGCTGCAAAATTACTCTGCCCAAAAGCTAATCTACTTGTCAGCGGTGTATTCTGCAAAACGCCTGCACGATCGCATGCACCTGGACGGCGAGATCTAGACTAGGTTCGACAAAATGTGCACGCACACGACCGACAACAGTCGCTGGACCATTAGCGCGACGTACGTGAGCGTCTTACCACTGCTAATAGGAGCCGAGATACAGATATCTGTCACGCGTTCATTTGTGCTGCCAAGGTCTGGGGAATTGCCACAGCTTGCACGAGAACGATCGGATATCCGGCGTCGATAAGGTGCTGCACACGGCTGGCGCCAGGTGTCATTGAGTCGAGAGTTCGGCTGGGAAAGTCTACCACCACATGTGATCTGTGGTCGATTCGTGTGGTGTGGTGCGCTTGTGAGTTGCATTGAGGGTCAAAGTGTGGTGGAAATAGTATAAAGTGCGATGGAACTAACAGTTCCAAAAAAGTTAAAGCGCTCAGGGAGGAAAGCCTGTGCAGATGTGCTGGGGTCCGTGCACAGCAGGCAACCTTTTGAGTAAGGCCCACTCTAGGGGCCTATGCGCAGAGGGCAACCCTTTTAATTAATTTTGCACAAAGGGCAACCCGTCTAGGTAATTTTGCACAGGGAGCAACCCTTGCAGGTAATTTTCGCACCGGGGGCAACCCTTCTAGGGGCTCCCCTCTCTCGTTTCGGATCGGTTTTAAAAATACTCTGTCCCCTGCCCTGCCCAGTGCCCACCTATGCCCAACCGTACCATCATAAATTTGTCTTACGCCAATACATGCCCACCACTGACAACGCCAACACGCCCATTGGCCACCCAAACTCGTGGGCGTGAATGGGCGTAGACATGGGAGTAGGGTGCCCATTGTAAGGCTCTGGTATGCACACATGGTATGTAACACATTCATTTTTGCCGGGTTTCTTAAACCCATAAGCTCAGAAAAATTGTGTGTGGCACACTGAACAGACGGAAGGTGCAGTACAGAGGTAGACAATCGTTATCGGTTTAGCGATACCGCTTTATTTCGAATAGACTATCTACTGGTTGTTTTCACATGATTTCCTATTCACTTCTTAATTTGCGCCCGCAGGCATTAACGGCCAAGCGACGAAGACCTTTAAAGACCCGGCCAATTAGCCTTCTATCTTTGGGTGGGAAGTCCCCTATCATGGGACCCAGACTAAAGGGGAGAGGCTTTCTTGCCGCAGCGTGCGCTGCGGGAGGCAGCGCAGCGTGCAAACCGAAAGGGTAGAAACAATTCAGAAGCCCCAAGGTGAGGGTACGGCAACAGCGGGGGTCACCCTCACCTGGTACCCAATATCCTACTTCAGCCTTCGATTTGTCGGCTCGGTTGCCGAGCTTGACTCCCTTGCCCCACGAAGCGAACTTGCCTAGAGCGTAATCAAAATCGGCCTAGTCCAGGTGCGCCAGCGGCCATCGGGGGATGATCGGTCCGGTTACCGGCGTTTCCTGCAACTTCAGCGCCCTGTCTGCACCCCGGACTGGATATCCGATTCCACGTGCTTTCTGCGAAGTGTTCTCCGTGATGACCGAAGAGCCGAGCCAAGCAGACTAAGCAAGCGAGGGGAAGATGATGTTAGTTAGGCAGCAACACACCGATATCGTATAGGGCACAAGCACTTCATTGATGTTCAAGATTTACCACATAATTTCGTGTTCACAGTATCTTTTGCTTCGTTCTGTCAACCTACTGCAAAACTCATTTAATCTTTTTGAGACCGTGAACTGCAGTGCCGCATCATTGAATAGAGATTAGACGGTGTATAAACTCGTAAGTAAATTTGGTACGAGGTGACTTTCGTTTTTCGACGCAAGCGATGGCAGCGAATATAGACCGTCGTTGATGCAAGTGATGGCAGTAAATATGGACAGCCGTTGACGCAAGTACAGTCGGTGCGTGATTCGTTGAAATGTATGATGTGTCATAATACTTTACAGCAACTGACATACTTTGCGATGTAGCGAATGCTGACGTCTACCTTTGTAAGGTGCACAAGCTGAAGCTTCATCTCTAGACATGTTAGAAACATTGCCGCGTCCGATTGTATAAAAATTCGTGAAGTTTATAGTTGGCAAAGACCTGCTCCTGGTGGTATCTGATGCAAAGAGACGCTGCCGTGTGAACGCAATGATGTGCTTGGTCGGCATGTCTGCGGAAATCAAGCCTCTCCACACAAAGAGTGTCGAGAGCACGCACTTCTCCTCGCCACATGACAACGACGTCTTTTTATTTAGCTACCAACTTCAAATGGAAAAGCAATCTATGAACGTGGTTGTAGGTCCATCATAAGGTTACGCAGACAGTTCTTAGCCGACAACAATGGTCCATGAGCTTTACCACATATGCTGAGTTGTCCCCGGCAGGCTTTTATTCTTTACTCTATAAGCGTCTCACTGAAAGAACGGCGAGGCAGCGAAAATATCAATGAAGTAAGTTTCAACAAATCAGCCATGATCAGCTTCTCAACATCCGATCATTAGGTAACGTCTGGACGAGGCGAGACTCCACTCATAGCGGAGACTTTCGTTACAATCGACGAAGTGCTTACAATCGCTTCCCGTTGTATTCCAGCATTCGATGCCGTTCATTTGAAAAGTTGATTGGAACGAACACGCTGTCGCTTTGCTCTGTGTGTCGACTGCGTGAATCGAGATTACGGTCATTCGCCATTTCGCTTGTGCCTGCCGCTTTGTCAAGATGTTGATTTCCCGAGTCGCCGCACTGACTTTGGTCTGTCTGGCCTTACTACTGGCGGTCACGTTCGCCGACAAATATAAACTGAATGGCTGGTATTCGTGTTCTGACACCACGTTTTCCGACGAGGGGAGCACGACTGGCGGTATTGCTCAGTGCGCGGTCTACAGAGCGCCTTTATGCTACCCTGGAATCTGTGAAACCCCGCCATCGGTCGACTCGACTGTTGATGTTTTTGTTAAGCAGCTCCCAGCGACGTCTATTTTCGCTGGTTCTGCTATCAACGTGTGGGTTGTCCAAGGTGGTCCAGGGTATTCGTCGACCTCATGTGCGTTGTGTCATGCACTGGCTTTGCTTGTTGTTCCAAACTGACGTCAAGCTCTTGGCCTTTGGTCTCGTCAATGTAGTGGAAACGACCATGGAGTATCTGCACTATCTACTCGAAGGTAAAGCTAACATTTTCACGATGGACCATCGTGGTACGGGCCGCAGCACGCTTCTGGATTGTGTGACAGCTCAAGCTACTACTACTGGCTCTCCTTCTGGCAGGGACATTGACCTGTCCGAAGTCGCTGCGTGTGCGCAGGATCTCAAGTACAAGTTCGGTGACCTGTCTTCGTTTTCCATGACGACGGCTGCCACTGACATTGCGACGTTCATCTCTAAGTTTACGAACGGCAAAGACACCATTGTATACGGCGTGAGTTACGGAACTGCGCTGGTAGAACGTCTGATGCACTTGAAGACTCCGACGGTAATCGGCTATGTCCTGGACAGTGTTTTTACGACCACTGCCGCATCCGAGGACAACTTCTCGTTTGATTCGAAGAGCGACCGCGATGTTGGGGAGGCGGCCGACGCTTTCCTCGAGCTGTGCATCGACGACGACGAATGCAGTCGCTACTTTAAGGCCGGCAGTCTTTCTACTTCCCTCCGTCATCTCATTGAGAAGTTTGACAGGCAACCAAACTCCACCTGCGCTCAGCTGGTAAGCACAGAAGGTGCCCAGTCTAAAGACTTACCGTCATCTTCGCTTCGTGGCACCCTGGGCGGGATGCTAGCTGATCCAACGTGGCGAGCTTTCATTCCACCGGTGATTTACAGACTGACTCACTGTACAAAAGGAGATCGCATCGTTTTGACGCAACTCTTCGCAAGTCTCAAGTCGGCCGCCGAAGCAACAACCCAGGGCGACGTGTACACGTCTTTGCTTCAGTACTATCTGATCATCTTCTCCGAAATGTGGGAGACGCCCGCACCGTCTTTTCGGGTGCTGAAGAAACGAATGAAAGACGCGACGATGTACGCAGGTTTTACCACAGATACGTACAAGACGAATGAGTTGTTTTGCGCTTTTTCCAAAGAAAAGTCTCCGACTTGTGACAGACTCCAACTGGACAACGATGGCTCAAGTGCCATCATCTACGAGCGCGACCGATATTGGAACAAGACTTTGGTCATTCCAAGGCGTGCAAGTGTGTTGCTAATGAGCAGCAAACTGGATCCTCAAACTCCTTACAAGTATGCCGAGACTCTGTTCGAAGGGATGGTGGGCTCTAAGAAAGAGCTAGTTGCGTTCGAGTATGCTACGCATAGTACCATCATGTCAACCCCGATTGATGGGTCCGATGAATTCTGCGGAATGAATTTGTTGGTGTTGTACGTGAAGAATCGCGGAAACCTCGACCGTCTTGACAAGTCGTGCTTGGACAAGATGCCAGCGCTGAATCTGACGATACCGCCAGACATTCGGTCGGAATATTTTGGTACACAGGATGTGTACGATGGTAAGACGAAAAGAGCTCGGACCTCTCTCTCTACGTAGCATTCCGATGGCTTGCTCTATTGATAGTTGCTACCACAGCACTTTTACAACATTGTCTGGCCATAAGGCATCGATCAAGTGTACCAATATAAATTGTGGGCATGCTGGGGCTAGCGTCCGAATATATGTAGGTTATGGTGCCGTCGGCTTGCAACCAGCTAACATTTGCCCAGCCCCGTTTTGCCGAAACAACACCGTAGAACGAACACGTGTGCAGATGTAAATATGTTAGGTGTATTTGCAGAATAGAGACAGTAGATATGCTGACCGGTACTTGATAGCGTCCATCACAATTTTTTTGCCTACCAGCACGATGCTTCCGAACTGTGCCCTACTAGGGCACGCCACAGCAGGCGGCAAGTTCTTGATGTAGCAACTACTGGTCTGGCGTTGTATGCTAGTAACTTTGTCTCCATTACTACAATGGTATCGCCGGCTATAGCAATCGTCAAAAGTCTAGCAAGAGTCAAGAGACTACTGTCCTAGCAGGCCGCCCACTTATGGAAAGCGAATGCGATCAATAAAAAGACCACTTTGGCATACACCCTTTAATGACGTTTGAAACACCTCGCTCCACCTCAAAGCAACCATTGCTGTGTAGAATAATCAGTTAAGCATCGCAAAGCACGAGTGAGACGCCGTTGACACGTACCGAACATGAGACAGTTGATGCAAGGGGCCGCAATTCTTGATCTTTGCCCAGTAGCTCCGTCTGCGTCTTTCAAGAGTAATAACGCAGGATTCGTTTACCGCATTATAAAACAGAAAAGCAGATGAGCAGGGCCAGATGAATCGGTTGCGGAGGATGACAACCTGCTTGCACTAGTCACGAGCAATCCATTACCTTTTGGCGCTCAACCCAGACTTTGGATCAACGTCTTTGTTTTTAACTTGGACTTGCATATCAAGTGAATAACTGGGAGTGCCAGCTTGTGGATGCAGCTTTTTGTCTCGTAATGGTATTGCTATTGGTGAACTGACACTGAAGCGCCAGCTAATGGATGCAGCTATTTGTCTCATAAAAGTGTTGCTATTGATGAACTGACACCCTCGTAAAATTATTGATTTCTTACGAAAAACGACCAAAATGAAAGCAGACCACGGCTTTCCTCCACCGCGACGTCGCTCTTTTCGAACAATCCTGATGAAGTCAAGTGTTGCAAATGCAATGGCAAGTACCTCCGATTTCGTGCCCACTAAAAAAGCGATGCCTAGATAATCCTGCATGGCGGTGCACGCTAAAGTTATTCAGGCGATTTGATGTCTTGCCATCGCAATAATTTGGCTACGCTCTTCTACTGAATTAAGATCGCAGTGCTGCCATACCTTATAACGTGAGCACTTTGTTTTGTATGCAATTACAGTATAAATTACGGCAAATACTAATTTAGACAGCTCGATTAGGTGTATACGTATCAAAGGGTAAGTGTATACTTACAATTCTCCATAAAGTATAATTCGCATTGCAAAAATTGCCAAACATATCGCAGCGGAATCATCAGATGCAGCATTGTAATCTGTGAGCACAAGATTAAAAGCTCTAAAAGAAGGGCTCTTTATAGTCTAAACATTCAGACGGCTCCAAAAAAATATATTCATATATGGTAGATAAACAGGGTATAGGGTGGTCAGTGAAAACCTAGTGGGTCGTTAGCGGATCTTGCATGAATAGGAACAGTGGATAAAATTTACGATCAGAGTGATTAACATGAACCTATAAATCGGGGCGAAGTTGGTCTTTAGTAACACTCCCAACTATTTAAACAGAACATTTGCGAAGCATCTCGATTATCATTAGAAATCGCAGCGTAGCACCTAGGCTTCCCGTGATGGTACGCCCACAGCATCCCTGTCGTACATTGTTCCTCTCCACTTCTTCGTAGCCACATCTCACACCGCGTCTCTAATCATTTTTGCTGCTTGTCATTAGCGAATTTTCCGGCGCTTCCCGTCGCAGCACTCGGACTTTGTCCATGACATGAGCTTTGACTTTTATGGTAAGCGACTGGCCACGTGCAGTTCGGACCGCAAGATTAAAATCTGGGAGGAACTGGGCCACGAGTGGCGTCTTGAGTACGAGTGGAACGCGCACCAGGCGAGTGTGTGGAAGGTCGAGTGGGCCCATCCCGAGTTCGGTCAGATCTTGGCCTCGTGCTCGTTTGACCGCACGGTCTCAATTTGGGAAGATCAGGGCATGTACTTGAACGTGGGACAAGGTCCAGTATTAAGCGGAGACGCAGCGACGGCTACTGGAGAAGCTCCCGCAGCTACTACTGCAGGAACAAAGGAAGGGTGGCGCAATCAGGCGCAGCTGGTGGATGCCCGAGACTCGGTCCACGATGTCAAGTTTGCCCCTCGACACCTCGGGCTGCGACTTGTACGTACATTGCCAGGATACAAAAGACAAGAGTTTAGCTTTTGTAGTGTTTATTTTGCTACGTGCTAATTGGACGTGCTGCGGTCGTTGATGCGGCAGGCGACTGCATCTGAAGATGGCTTTGTGCGCATGTATGAAGCAATTGACGTGATGAACTTGTCGCACTGGCCGCTGCAGGAAGAGTTTCTGGCCGATAAAGATGGCGCAACGTGTGTGTCGTGGAACAAGTCACGCTTTGATGTGCCCATGACTGTAGTCGGCGGCAACAGCGACGTAGCCAAGGTCTGGGGATACAATAATTCGTACCGCAGGTGGCAAGTCGTTGCCGAGCTTGCGGGTCATGCGGACGCAATTCATGACGTGTGCTGGGCGCCAAACATGGGCCGCTCGTCGCATCTTTTGGCAACGGCCAGTAAGGACCGCACCGTACGCATTTGGCGGCTTACAATTCACGCAGACGACCATTTGCAAGCCAATGTAGAGGAAGTAGCGCGCAAACACCATCATGACTCGGAGGTCTGGCGCGTCGAGTGGAACATCACTGGCACAATGCTAGCATCTTCGGGTGACGACGGGACTGTGCGCATGTGGAAGAGTGACTTTGAAGGCAATTGGGCTTGTGTCAACACTATCTGTGGAGATTTGGGCCCTGCCACGGCGCCACCTCCGATGGCATTGTGAACAAGTTAAAGCTCATCATGTCGTCATTGGTATGGACACCAGTAAAGCAAAGGCTACTTGTTATGCACCTCATATTTATTCGTAAATTGAAAGTAGGTAACGATAGTTGGAGCATGTGGCTTTGGCTAGCTTGTACGTTGCCAAAATACAACGAGATATGCCTTGCAAAACATTCAGCGCGTCGCTAATGGACGCGACACCTACTTATTGTACTGGTAGGTATTTGCATGATGTGCTTTTAATGGTGAAACTAATCGTCACGCAATGCAAGGCTGCCACAAAACGACGGGATATTCTTCAAGCAACCCAATGTCGCTCACGGCACTGGAGACAAGTAATATGGAATACAGCAAGTCCTCGAGATTGTTCCATCTCCTCACTTTGTACTTTTTTACAGTCAAGCATTGCGCGGATGACTACATATGATGTAGCAGGTTACCCACAAATGTTCTTCTTGACCCATAGATATCAACTAATCGCTAGCTACTATTCTAGCGAGCGTTTACCGCGCGTGGCCAGATTTTTAGGCGCTTTATACATTGTAATATCGCTGTGTCGACAGTAAGTTGTAGTCAGGTGTTCCAATGTACGATTGTGGCCATATACTGTCTGTCACTTTCTTAGATTCTTCAATGCAGCGAAATAATAAATTAGCATCTTTATTTTTGAGCTCAACCCAGCTTTATTCTCGAACAGACCGACCTCCGTTAGCGAGAAGCTTTAGGTTGCTCAAAGGTGGACGAATAATGTGTGCCTTTCGCTTCTGCAATATTTCTAGCAATTTGTAAATTTATTTAGAAATACTTCGATCGCTTCCGTTTCCGTTAGATTGACTCCCTTTTCTTTTGTTAAGTAGACGCTCACGTTAACAAATTTTGATTGGTCAAATCATTGTGTAAACATTTTTTGCTACTCCAAATCTTGTTCGTTCTACGTCCATCAGTGCTGCCCATGATAATCTTACCTATTTATACCTGATGGCGCCGCTGGTAACTTTATCTGCAGAGTGTGGCTATCAGATCTGACCTGTAGAGATGACAGTAACTAAAATATAATCAAGCGACATTGGCGCTTCCTTGTGCCGCATACTTGCTGTTTGTCTAAAGCTACGCAAGTACATCCATGCGGTGCCAACGCCATCTTCCATCATCAGGATCGCCCCAGGTTAAACATTTGACCACCGGGCGCTGCCATTTAGTCGTGGAATTGGTAAGACTTGCGAAGGCATCGCACGAAAAATATAAACATTTACACTGAATATTGACCAATCAAAGCTTACCATGACATGAGTTTACTGCACGAATAAATGAGGGTGCATCTGGCTAAAAATGTAAATAATCTAACAATCTATCCTATTCATCGTCATTTAGGTCTCTTGGATGTGCTAAAAAGGGGCAGAGACAAGCAAGATTTTTGGCGTTTACCTGTTTCTGAACCCATTTAAGTTTAATCGACTTTAGTATCATCGTCAATAACGCAACTCATCAGTTTCCAACATCTTTACGATGGCTACACGATTTTCGTGTCCCTTGCTACGCCGCGTCCCTGCTACGCTCCGTAGTGCTGCTCCTCGTGTCGGTTTAAGCAAGCTCTCGTCTTCTCGAACATTTGCAAATGCTGGCAAGAGCTTCGACGAAACGCTTAAGCGAGACTTTAAGCGCTGGCTAAATTCAGAAGTCGTGTTGCTAGCCTGTATGGTAGCAGCTGGAGCTGCTGGCGTCCACTTGTACCAGGTGCAATTGAATACAAAAACCTTTTGGGTACTACTGTTTTGAAGGAAATACAGACGTTTTATTGACCTGTGTGTGCTTGCCATTACATTCTGTGCATGTGCATGCAGAACCGTGGAAATGCACCTGTTAAACAGGTCAAGCGGTTGATAGAATCGGCAAAACAAAGTGCCAAGGAGGTAAGCAGGCTAAAAAGGCTGTGGAAGAGGAAACGGTATCTGATTATTGGATGGTTTTGCTGCTGTTTTTATCGGAGGTGTAGGAAGACCGAGAGCAAGCACTCAAGCATTGTCTGCATGCGTACGATGTCATTAAGAGCACGAATCCGCGTGGTGCGTAGTGATTTGATGCAACTGTCGTCTAAGGGGCTCATGCTTTATGCGTAAATATGCTGGCAGACCGTCACTTGTTTGAGCTGGCGTTTTCCATTGCTGCACAATACGAAGACTTAGAAAGAAGCACGCCTGCGACGAAGTACTACCTCGATGCACTGGAACACAACTCGCACGAGATGAGAGTCGCCAAAAGGGAGCTGAATCACGTGATTACACTCGACCGCATTGCACAGACTTACATGAAGAGGTATGTCTGTACAAATGCTATTGTCTTTGTTTACTTGGGCTCATGGTGGTCGCTCATGTCTGTAGAGGACATGACAACACTGCAGAGAAGTACTTCAGGCAGGCCATTAGCGCTTACGACCAGAGTCGAGGACGAAGAAGTATCTCAAGTGTCACGGTAAGCGAACGAGCAGATGTCGCAGCGCTTGACCGGGAGATCACCGCTGTACTTTTTAACTACTCGCAGTTGATGATGGCGGACAACCGCTTGGTCGAGGCCGAGAACGTGTTGCAACGGGCCCTGGCCCTCGCGCGCTCATCGCTGATGTCCGATGAACACGCTGATCTTATTAAAGGTGCTATTGCCAGCGTCAGGTCAGACATTGCAATGGAGAAGACGCATGCGAAACAAGAGCAAGGCTTGTAAGCACCTGGTACTGATTCTAGTTGGATGCGAAAAAAGTATCCGAAGGGGAGTGTAGACGTGTCAACTACGCGAAACTTGCGGCTCCGATTCCATACCTTCTAACAGATTTATGTGTAATTAAATCCTTTGTGCGCAGCATGCTGAATTTGGGTGTCTGTGTCTGGGCCTTTGGAGCCTAAGGTACAATTTGAGATTATGTCATACCGACGACGACTACACTCCGCGCCAAGTAATTATCGTGCACCCTCATTTTAATCCACTGCTCAGTCAGTTTTAGCTTGATTTGCAGGTGCAAATAAGGTATGTTATTCGGATAAAAAGGGAGCCGTTAACCTTCCCTTAGTTTTTTGGTAAGACCCACTCACTTGGATATATCAATACGTGATTGGCTAATGATGAGGCATAGAAATAGAGGGAGAATTATCCCTACCCGCTGTTTGTATACGTCAATTTCTGTCATGACCATTTACAACCAAACCTCTATTGCGCAAAAACGCCGTTCGGTACACATCATTGTCGGCGATTTAGCTACCACAAGCGATGCGCTTGAACCAAAAGATGTGAGTGAGTATGTGTGTAGAAAAAGAGTTGTCTTCCTTGCACTTCTGCAAGAGTAGTTGAAAGTATTACATTAAGTGTTTACTTCGTTCGTTTACACTACCCTACATGTCTTTTCATCGACACAGCAATTTGACCTGGTCACCTGGTCAAGCTGCAGATGGCGCACATCCAGTCCGTGTGTCACCATGTGCCGATCCCACATGCCGTATGCATCGCCTGGTCCCACTGGCTCGACATCCTTGTCATCCCGACGTGACGTCCGTCTCTCCGTGTCCCACTTATCAAGGTTTCAGGATTACAACCAAACAGGAGAGTCGAACTTTCCTGTAGCAGGTCTTGCAGTTGACCCTCTCAACTTCGACGATCTGTGAGAAGTATCATATTCTAACAGTGTAAAGCCACCCTTATGACCAAGCGGAAGTAATAATCGGCGCCACCAATTCATTCAATTTGTTAGAATTGCTTATTATCAAATTACGGGCTACATATCATGCGCCAACGTCGACTGGGCGGAAACGTCTAACCATCCTCCTTTGATAGATTTTCTCTCCTCTCTTGTATCCATTACACACATGTACATGAAGAGTGCTTTTATGTAATGCTCTGCGATCAAGCTCATCGCCCAAACACAAAAATCATTGTTTGCGTGAGTCAATCGTCATGCGTCCGGCTTGTGCACAATTGCTAATAGAGATTAGCGTTGCGTGAACAGCCTTTAGCGACGCAAGAGACAATGTCGAGGTTCAGATGTGCTGTCGTCAGCGTAAGTCTAGTCATCGCAAAGAACACAAATGTATTGGACGGCACGAGATTGGCATTATTAACTTATAACTACTCAATGAACGTTTAAGTTTTTAAATTTTAACTTCAACCCAAAAAAAATCTATTTTATCGATTAAAGCTGGTTTAAAATATTTTATTTTAGGATCAATTACTTCAGGTTTTATTCTTATTTTTTATAATTTCATATTATTTTTCAGATCAATTAATTTATTTACTAATAAATAATTTACTTAATAAAAATATGTTGAATATTTTATTTTCAAAAGTGATGTTGTGAAGCTGCTATCGTCACTGCGGTCATCAGTTGACTTCTTCGTTTTATCAAATAGCCGCAGTTTTGACGTTGGACATGGAGAGAGGAAGAGTCAACATTTGCGGACATGAATTGATACAGACACTCCAGCTCATGTGTTATTGGGCAATTGCGCATCAGAGTACCAGGTATGACAGTAAGGACATTATAAGACATAACCTACTTCTGCTATGAGCAATTTTTTGGTCTACGCAAAGTTTAATCTAAGAGCGCAGCATAAAAGTTGTGAATACGACAGATTCTAGTATTCGTTTTCAACGCTCGACGGGCACGGCGGCTCGAAAGCAGCAGAGTAAGTGGATTTAAATAAGCTTCCCAGTAATAACATAGTCTAAATAGGGTCAATGCTCTTTGTGCAGTCCCCTCTGCTCCTCTATCAGGTACGATAAATTTCTGACATGATCTCCGACAGCTTCAGTGACGAGGTCCATTTAAACAGAGATACACCACTCTTTAGTCAAACGAAATCTTTGGCTTTTAGCCACTTAGTTTTGAAGAAGTAATAACAACAATTGCTGGTGTACGCCCGGTCTAAAGAACTAGACTGGACTCTCCGCTCATTCAAATTGTATGCTTGACAGCATCGAGGAAACTGAAAGCACGTGGATTGAGAGTAACAAGTCAGTGAGACTTGCACTCTTTAACTCAAAAGGTGAACAGGGCTTTATTTATGAAGGAAGTAGCTTTGTAACGGGTCACCGGTCGCTTGTACTGTCACAGTAGAAGCTGCTTGCACTGAACACAGAGTAGGTACGTGCCTCAAAAGTTCACGTAAACGCTTCGTACAGAGAAAGGTTTTAGCACAGGGTACAGTGTAAAAGTAGAACTGTAATTGTATATTTAATCTCCAGTTAACATACCCTTTTTAGTCTTCATTTACCTATAATTTAATGCAAACATGTATTGTAACTATCCACTCGCCACTGAGTGTGTTCTTCTGTCATGACTCGGCTTTATCGGTTATTTACATCAATCTAAATCAATCAATTAACTGTTTATTACTTTTGCATCACAATATCACTAGTTAAGCTAATATTGTGAGAATATGATGTCCAGCCTAGCATATTATTCAAACTTTATATGTACCTTATGTATAGTACCATATAGCAACGTCAACCCGTTACAAGCTTTATGGTCATCCAATTACATGTTAACATAAGCAAGATTCCTAAAAGTTCCTGAGTCGGATCATAAATGCCGGTGAGGTACCTCATCGTGGTAAATTTCGAAGGCTATCGAGAGCCGTGTGGGATCGTGGCTAAGCAAACTAATGCAAACGTGTAAACGTGCCTTTTTGACTGCGTTATCTTCCAACCTGTGTTCACGTTACGCAATTTCCCGTGGCTGCCGCATAGCACAGTCCCGGAATGCCAACCCGCGCCGCAATTAAGTCGTTTGTTCTTTTGTAAGGAAACACAGCTTCATTTTGCTCCATCCACAGATGCACTCGGCAAGCAAAACTAATTATAATCCAGATGCACCCGCGCCGCAATGAAGTCGGTTGTTCTTCTTTAAGGAACACAGCTTCATTTTGCTCCATCCACAGATGCACTCAGCAAGCAAAACTTGATATAATCCAGATGCACGGTAAAGTAAACATGGCTTCGAGATAGCTGGCCTTTAAACGATGCTGCAAACGCTGGCGAAGATGTGGTGATCCCGGTGGTACCTAAAGATCGTCAAATATCGGAAGTGATTCTGCATCTTGAACCGTCCCATCCCTTCCCCAGTCCAAAGTCAATCAGTTGCCGCCAGTAATCCTGAGCAGTCAGGCAGTCCAATAAGATATTAGCCTCCGTCTCCTTCGAATCCTTGCACTGCTACATTTTCTGCAATTTTATTTGCGGGGCGCCTAGCGTAATTAGAGTTCAGCTGATTGGTTGCTACATGATCAAGGTCCAGGTTCAATTTTCGACAAGACCATGCGCGTCTTGCGAGAGCTGCGACGGCCGTTGTGTTGCGGTCGCTGCAATCCATGCATCAGGCCACGTTTGCCCTTTAAGGTGAGTCGTCCAGGTCTCAACGGCCGGACAAAGCGGCCGTTTTTATTACTTAAATGCCTGCCGTAGAAGCGTGTTGCAAATTTGTACATTGTTCGCGGTCTTAAGCATAATTCAAGCAAAGTGATGGAGATGTGGATGGGCTACAACAACCAGCCCACGCGCTAATCGTTTCCGCCAGTCAGCTGCCTCGCTCGTAGAAAAAATCAGAATTAGGGAAATCGCCTAGGGAAAACAAACCTAGTCCACTTTCGTCAAGGTGCAGCCGTATCGAGGAGCCGACCGGTATGATGCGGTTGTGGTTTCCCGAACCGTTAGTCGTAAAGAACACAGACCTACTGTAACGGGGTGAATCGTTACATAACAATTTATAAGAAATTGTTAATAGAATATAACTATAAGAGTTATATTCTCAGAATATTGTCATAAGGACAAATATTCTGTAGCACTTACGAGTAGTTCCTAATTGGTTGATATAGGCCATTATATCAACCAACGAAGACGCGCCACGACAGACGCACGCAATGAGTGGTGAGCAGATAGTTGATTTACACATTTGTATTCAGACATAGTTAGATGAAGATAAATAGTGATTTATTGCAGACATTAACTATTATAAATACAGTTCTACTTTTTACTTTAACCAAGTACTCGCTTCTTCTTACCGTCTTCCTCTGCACGTACGAGTGTACGTAAAGTTACGAGGCACCGCCTTATTCTGTCATCAGAATAAGTAGCTTGTACTGTCACCAGTACAAGCTTCAGGGTGCCACGTTACACCTGGTAGCACTTCGTAGTCCGTCCAAGGACCACGTTCACATCTAACATGAATATGTTGGATGATGAAGATGACCAAAGCTTTCACGCTACGCGTGACGGCTACTCCCATTTGAGCAATGTCGAGTGGGATGCGGTTGAACGGATGGGTTTAACCATGGGCATCCATGCTGTTAGCTTCATGCTAGAGGCTCTCAATAGAGATGCCCAACATGCTACTATCGCCAAGTTTATTCAAAATGAACTTGACGCAGAACGCGAGAAAGTAGCCTTGCTTCACCAACAAGGTTCTCAACAAGCAGAGTTGTTGAGAGAACAGGGTGCTCAACAGTTTGAACTGTTGAGACAGCAGCAGGCTGCTGCTGGTGGGTCGATGCACTCGCGTCGACCCGAAACCTTGAAGATTGACATCTCCAAGTATAGGGGAGTCGAGGAGGACTCCCTCTTGAGATGGTTCGTCGAATTGGATTACTCCATAAGTGCGCGTCGCATCGACGACGGGGATATGAAAGTTGCATTTGCCCAGTCAAATCTGGCAGGACGTGCCAAGACTTGGGCACTGGGGCTCAAGTTGCACGACCCATATGCGTTTGGGTCGTTAGAAGTCTTCAAGTCGCGGCTCAGACAAACGTTTGAACCGCCTAGAGCTGAGTTCAGAGCTCGAACCGAACTCTTGAAGCTCAAGCAGGGTAAGCGTGATGTGCACGCTTACGCTCAACATATACGACATCTCACGCGTTGTATAAGTTCCAATCCGGTGGATGAACACACGTTGGTTTCGTTGTTCATGCAGGGTCTTGCGGATGGTCCCGTCAAGACTCACCTGTTCCGACTTGAACTAGATTCACTAGAAAAAGCCATTTCCATTGCGGAACAGAAAGACTTCAGTCTGAGACAGGCTCGCGCCAGCTCGACATCATATCGTGCACAGAGACGATATGACAGCGGAGGTCCAGAGCCGATGGAACTCTGTTATGTAGAGAGCGAGAAGGCTCGCTCTACAGACTACTAGAAGTTGCAGAGATGTAAAAGATGTCAAAAGACAGGACACTACGCTTACGAGTGTAGTGCCCCTCGTCCAGTGTCTCGCGACACTGGGCGTAGTGACCGTCCACCCATGAGAAAGGGGCAGGGACGAGGGTCCGCTGTTGGTGCAAAGACGCAACAACTGGATGGACCGTCAAAAAACGGACAGGATCAGTAGGTGCGGAGCACCCTACTGATCCAGCAACGTCAAGAGAATTTGTAGGCCTCTTGATGAAGGTTGCTCCCAACACACAGACGTTGTGCGTTGCTGCTCTAGGTAATGAGATCTCACTCATTACCTTGAAACTCGAAGTGACGAATAAGTTGTCCCTTCGAGCTCTAGTCGATTGTGGGGCGTCTAACAATTTTGTGCGACGCCAATCGCTAGAAGATGGTCACTTTAAATTCAGTGAATGTGACACACCTCCCACGAGGATGACGGTACGTCTTGCGACAGGCGCATCCGTAACCGTCATGAAGCGTATAGTGAAGATTCACTATACGCTAGAAGATACCCAATACGACGATGACTTTATCGTATTGGATCTGGATGACAAATTTGATGTCATCCTTGGAATACCGTGGCTCAGAAGGTACGAACCACGGGTAAACTGGCAACATCGGACAGTAACGATGCCTGCCGCTTGTTCATCAGATGGCCATCTGATGAACGTTTTGGAGAGTCCACAAGCGTGTGGATGTACTACGAGTGAGTGCGATGGCCTCACTTGTGGTACGGTAGTTAGTACGACTGCACAAAACCTTAGTGTACCAAACGGTTACACTTCGGAGCAAAGTTCCGGCGGCTGTGAGGAAACACAGGCTGCGCCGAAGGTCCACCACTCGAATAAGTCGGGTGGACTGGGACAAAGATGTATCCCTAGCGGGGAACATCTAGAAGAGAAACCATCGATCGCTCAGGTTAAGCGAAACGATAATCCTAGATCGACTGGAGAGTCTATCGTAGAGGATCTCGCTGTGGTTGCGCAACCCCAGCTAGAGTAAGTAAAGGGAATAAGTACCAAGATTACAGATACGGCGGAAATAAGTTCCCCGAAACCCACGGGAATAAGTCCCCGGGAAGCCGAAGGAATAAGTCCTTCGAAGCCTGAGGGAATAAGTCCCCAGGAAATTACAGAGACAATGAATGTCAAAGTCAATAACGGATCAAGCGTAGGCGCTTATACACTTGATCTGATTGCGCCTCCGAAGTTAACTTCGGAGATCACCCAGTTGCCAACGCTCGAACATAAAAGGCTCTTGCGTGATCTGCGTAGTGGCAAAGTCAAGCAGATCTGCGTACTCGTCGCTGACGACGAGTGTGTAGCCGACATAAGGTCAGCAACAGTGTTTACTGAGAACGAGAGAGTTCTCAGTAGTTCATCGATGTTCGAGATTGTACTCGATGAAAAGACACGAGTTGAGCGATACGACTCCCAATCGTGGGAATAGCTCAAGACAAAGCCTCTCTATGAAGATTTGGTTGAATTCAAGGATGTATTCCCTGAAACGGTTCCGTGCGAAATACCGAAGGATAAATGTACTCGACACGAGGTCGAGCTTAAACCAGGCTCGAAGTACTGTGTCATGAAGCAGTGGCCACTGCCTCGTGAACAAGTACTTGCGATCGACAAGTTCTTTGCCGATCGTTTAGCTGCGGGCCATGTGAGGGAATCAACTTCCCCACATAGCTCTCCGACCTTCTGTGTGCGAAAAGCAACAGGAGGGTGGCGGATAGTGCATGCATTTAACAAGTTGAATGCTGCAACGGTACCGGCTCAGACGCCGATACGAAGGAAGGACGTAATCATTGATGGTATGTCAAAAAGTACCATCTTTTCGTCCATGGATTTGATGGATGTATTCTATCCAATCCTTATGCTTGAACGGGATATCCCTTACACAGCAGTTAGCACGTCTAGCGGCATGCTCTGGGAATGGCTAGTAATGCCACAAGGGCTCAGTAATGCCCCTGCCACGTTCAACAGATGTGTATCACATCTGTTGAGACCAGTACGAGAATTCGCACTGAGCTATTTCGATGACGTATTCATCCATAGTCGAGCTATGGATGGAAAGTCGGACGTTGAGGTTCACAGGTACCACGTCCGACAGATTCTTACAATCATGCGAAAGCATCAATTGTATGCAAACATCAAGAAGTGTATATTTGCAGCAAGCGAAATACCACTTCTTGGGTGCATCGTTGGTGAGAACGGTGTACGTCCTGATCCCAAAAAGATCAAGGCGATCACCGACTGGCCTGTGCCGGTTGATGTCAAAGTTCTTCGAAAATTCCTTGGGCTAGCGGCGTATTTGCATAAGTATTCACGCAATTACGCCGAGATGACTGTGCACCTCTCTCGTTTGTTGAAAAAGAACGAGAGGTGGTTATGGAACGCTGAATGTCAGCGCTCCTTTGATGGTATCAAGCAGAGCTTGATACAATCTTCAGTCCTAGCAATTGCCAATCAGGACAGGCCATTTCATGTGGTCTGTGATGCCAGCGATCTCGCAATCGGCTGTGCACTAATGCAGTACGATCTTGAAGGCGTTGAACGCGTCGTCTGCTGTCAGTCGCGTCAGCTGCAACCAGCTGAGCGGAACTATCCAGTGTATGACAAGGAACTACTTGCCATGAAGTATGCACTCGCGAAGTTCAGAGTCTATCTATTAGGAGATAGACCCTTCATCGTTTACACTGACCATGCGTCGTTACGCACGGCAGTGAACAGCCCGCACCTTTCACAACGCATGGTGCGGTGGTTATCATTCTTTGCAGAATACAACTGTATGGTAGATTACAAACCAGGACGACTTAATGTCGTCGCTGATGCACTCTCACGTCGTCCCGACTTTGAAACAGTCGCGAAACCCAACAGTGAGACAGTCACTGCTGCGGTTATGACGTCCTCAGTCCCATCTACAACGTTGCATGATGATGTGAGGCGGGCGTATGCCCAAGATGGTGAAATTGTGAAGTTGTTGACACATCTCTCACAACCATCTCGATAATCGTTGAAACGATTGTCGTCTACGTATCGATCTGCATCAGATCGATACACTACTCGCAACGGGTTACTGTATTATACAGCCGTTTCTGGTGACACACCACGTGTTGTCATTCCAGATGATACTGATCTGCGTTTGCGGATCATGTTCGAGTATCACGATGCTCCTATAGGAGGACATCGTGGCCGAGAGAAAACGTATCACGGTGAGTCGAGACTTTTACTGGCCCCGCCAGTATCAGTTTGTGCGAAAGTATGTTCGCGCATGCGAAGTCTGTCAACGAGTGAAGTCAAGTCCTTCACTGCGTGCACCCTTACAGCCTCTACCGGTTCCGGCTGAGTGCTGGGAATCCATCTCAATGGATTTCGTCTTCGGGTTACCCAAAGACGCACGCGGGAATACGGGTATTCTCGTATTTGTTGACAGATTCAGCAAAATGGTACACCTTGTGGCTGTACCAGAGACAATCACGGCAAGTGGCTGTGCTTGTGTCTTTATTGACACCATCTTCCGACTTCATGGGTTGCCCCCTGAACTCGTATCAGACAGAGATCCACGATTCACTGCTGATTTCTGGCGTTCCGTGTTCAAATCACTCGGAACGCGCTTGAAGATGTCTACATCTGATCATCCAGAGTCAGATGGTCAGACGGAACGTGCCAATCGTGTCCTTGAAGAGATACTTCGAGGATACGTACACTCCTTTAAGAGTTGGAGTGAGTTTTTGCCGATGGTAGAGTTTGCCATCAACAACTCGGTGCATGCGTCCACGACACATACACCGTTTCACGTGAATGGCTTGCGCCATCCGCGTGTACCCACCTTACAAGAGTGTACCTCTGGTTTAAGGGGGTGAGGGACTCGCGCGAGCAAAAACCGATTTGGTTCACGCTCATCACGCTCTGACGAAGAGGTCATTGCGTTTGATGCCGATATCGATAACATCGACATCGAAGAAGATGATGCCAGTGAGAGTGCGGAAGCTCTCACTGAAGAAAAGGTTGATGTTGCTGCAGTGCACTCACAGCGCACTGAAGCTAACGAGTCATCAGATGAGTTCATACTGGCTCGTGAAACGGTAGTCCGTTTTGTGCAAGACTCCATCGCCGAAGCGGTGGATAAGCAAAAGCAAAACGCTGACAAGAATGGAAGGGCAAACACTCATTTATTCAATAAAGGTGACTTAGTCCTACTGTCTACAGTTAATCTACCAAAGCATGTAGTGACTAACTTGGGTAGCAGTAAACTACTACCCAAGTACATCGGCCCATTTCGTGTATTGCACCGCCTGGGCAATGCATACACGATCGAGTTACCACGTAAGATGCGAACGCATCCCACGTTTTACGTTGGTCAGCTTAAGCCGTACCATCAGTACGCTGCTTCTTCCGATGAAGAACGCCCTTGCGCTCAAGCATCTCGCAGAGAGCCTTGTGCTCCCGATGGTGGACATCAACAAGGGTCCGAGGAGCAGTTATCTCATCCCGAGACCGATCAACAATCCCACGAGCTACCCTTAGCTCGTCACGAAGAGATTTCAGAGATCTCTCGTTCTCGAGCTGAGCAAAGGCAAGCTCAGATGGATGCTTCGAGGCAGTGTCCGCCATTTGGAGACGCCTATTCCGCTCATGTTCGAGATCGTCGCGTAACCCTTGCGTTACGCGATCAAAGAAGCTCTCGGGAACACACCGATCCACATGATCGTGTGGAGAGCATCTTTCCTCCTCCTCCACCTCCATTAGAGGACTCTCGCGGTGGTCAGCGCTATCTAGTTGAGCAGCTGTTGAACCACCGCGACGTGAAAGGACGTCGGACGAGTTATCTCGTCCGGTGGCGCGGCTATCCCCCGTCCTGGGATTCTTGGGAGCCCCGCTCCCAACTGATGATCGACGTACTGGGTCTGGTTGAGCAGTACGACGCGGCACATTCTGTGTCGCAGAAGGAACTCCGGAGAAAGTCTTCCCGGCACGGTCGTAAAGGGATTTCAGGTTGTCAATCCCTTCGCACATCTCAGTAGAGACACGTACGCGCCATCACGGGCTATTAGGGAGGTAAGCCTCCTTAGGTGCTCGTGCAGAGTTGTTCACACAACATGGGCACGAGTCTCCCCAAGAGAGGCAGGGTAATCCTTTCTCCCTTGACAGACGATGCAGCTTGTAGCGTGCACCTGTCGGGGTTCGCTTTTCAAACTTATCACGAGCTTTGATAAGTTTGTCGTTCCAAGCGTCACGACCTACATCCTCGAGATTATGGATGTAGGCGTTCCACGCCTGAAGTAGTGAGGGACCATCACGTTTGTGATTCCCACTGTACCATCGATGTCTGAAGAAAGCATCGAGGAAGAACTCATGTTCAGCGCGATAGTCTTTCGTGCTGGGGTCAAGGTGATGAATCCTTGACGAATCGAACAATCGTGTTCGATAACGATCACTCGTCGTCGCCGACAAGTGATCCATGACGGATTTAGGAGGCATCCATGCCTTCTTTTCTGGAGCGAGACGCAACACATTGCGGTCCCGCTCTTCCTGCGACGTGCCGACAGAAGTACTGGCACCTCGCTGTGAAGTGGTGTCCATTGGAGAAACGACACCACTATTAGCGCCCGAGTCTCGCGACCTCGAGCGCCTTCGCTTCGGCGATGGTTCATCTGATTCATCAGATGAACCAAAGATGCTACGACGCAAAGCATCATTCATGCCACGCTTGGCAGGCGGCTTGGATTCGATCGCCGTCGATACGGATCCGTCTTCCGTATCAGGAGAGTATGAGACACCGAGCTCATACCCTGTAAAGACATGAGTGTCTTCATGACCAGCGCCTGCATCACCAGGTGACACAGGCTGGGTCGCTTCAGCAACCGATGACACATCGGTTGCTGCGGTTTCTGCTTCGGCTCCCGCACAGAGACGTGCGGACGCGCTCTCGGCGGCCTTGCTCGCACACCGCATGGGCTTGTTAACCATGCGATGAAATGTTGGAAAGTGGACTCGAACCAACAAGTGCAAACCTTGTCCCAAATGATTTGGGACGAGTATCCATTTAGTCATTCATTCACTAAAGTGACTGATGGTCAAGGGGGGGGGTGATGTAACGGGGTGAATCGTTACATAACAATTTATAAGAAATTGTAAATAGAATTTAACTATAAGAGTTATATTCTCAGAATATTGTCATAAGGACAATATTCTGTAGCACTTACGAGTAGTCCGTAATTGGTTGATATAGACCATTATATCAACCAACGAAGACGCGCCACGACAGACGCACGCAATGAGTGGTGAGCAGATAGTTGATTTACACATTTGTATTCAGACATAGTTAGATGAAGATAAATAGTGATTTATTGCAGACATTAACTATTATAAATACAGTTCTACTTTTTACTTTAACCAAGTACTCGCTTCTTCTTACCGTCTTCCTCTGCACGTACGAGTGTACGTAAAGTTACGAGGCACCGCCTTATTCTGTCATCAGAATAAGTAGCTTGTACTGTCACCAGTACAAGCTTCAGGGTGCCCCGTTACACCTACCGAAATCACGAAAGGGGGTGAGTGAAGCTGTTAGCCTAATTTCGGACCTGCAAGCTCTGTGAACATCGACGTCCGGCAAAGCAAGCAGTATAGTTGTAACGGGGTCGCCCGCTACATATTATTGACATCAAACGTTGTCAATTGGTTTATTGTCTAGCATCAAGATATTCTACCAATATTATCCGAGATGAATGATGTTGAAGGAATATTATCCCTTTTTGATAATATTCATGCGCTGCTCAAAGATTGGTTGATAAAGACAAATCAACCAGGGTCACCAATAATCGCTGCCAGACGCGCGCAATGAGTGGTGAGCAGGTTGTCTTGATCTGACAATGCAGTTTAACAGAGTTAGATAAAGAATTAAGTTGTATTGATAGCTTAACTATATTAAATGCAGCTCTCTTTGAATCATTTACTCAGCTTAGTCGTTGAGTAGATTTACTTTCTCTGCACGTACTAGTGTACGTGAAGTGTCGTGGCACCCAGACAAAGGGTGCCCCGTTTCACCTGGTAGCACTTTGTAGTCCGTCCATCGACTACTTAGTGTCCATCCAACATGAACATGTTGTACGTAGAAGACTACATCTTTCACGTCACACGTGAAGGCTACTCCCATCTGAGTGACTCAGAATAGGAGATATTCGGCCGCATGAGTGTGCTCGTGGGCGAAACCGCCATCAGTGGTATGTTGGAGTCTCTAAGCAGAGACGAGCAACATACTGCTATCAACAATTTCCTACAAGGGGAACTTGCCGTCGAAAGACAGAATATAACCTTACTGCAACAACAAGGCTCTCATCAGTCGATGGGCGGGCCGACGCACATGCGTCGATATGAAACCTTGAAGATTGACATCTCAAGGTACAAGGGAACCGATGAAGATTCCCTTTTAAGATGGTTCGTCGAGTTAGACGACGCCATCAGGGCCCGTCACATCGAGGGTGACGAGATGCAAGTCACCTTTGCCCTGTCAAATTTGACGGGACGAGCAAAGGCTTGGTCCTTAGGGCTCAAGCTCCACGACCAGAACGTGTTTGAGTCGTTGGAGATCTTGAAGTCTCGGCTCAAAGAGACGTTCGAGTCGCCGAGAGCCGAGTCCAGAGCACGCTCTGCACTCTTGAGGCTAAAACAAGGTTAGCGTGACGTGCATGCTTATGCACAACACCTACGCTACCTTGCGAGTAGCGGTACGGAAAACCCTGTCGATGAGCACACACTCATCAACGTGTTCATCTACGGCCTTGTGGAGGAGCCGGTGAAGACCTACATTTTTCGAGAGGACTACCATACGCTGGAAAGGGTGATAGTGTATGAGGAACAAGAAGACTTCAGCCTGAGACAGTCTCAGACTAACTCGTCAAACTGTCGTCCGACGAGACGACAGGAAACAGGAGGTCCCGAATTGATGGACCTCTGTTACATCGAGAGCGAATACTTTCGCTCTCTGAGTCACAAGCGAACGGCAAGATGCCATCGCTGTCAGAAGATTGGACACTACGCTCATGTGTGTAGTGTCCCAAGCACCGCATCACGTCCAAAGACAGGACGTGATGACCGCCGTTGGCCAAGGAAAGGTCCAAGGCGTGGTTCCGACCATTTCGCTAAGCCGCGACAGCAAGTCGTACCACTAAAAAAAACGGTCAGGGTCAGTAGGGGCGGAGCACCCTGCTGATCCAGTAACGTCAAGATATTTTGCAGGACTCTTGACGAAGATTGCTCCCAACACACAGTCGCCGTGTGTTACTGCCCCTAGTGATGAGGTGTCTCTCATCACTTTGAAGATCGAAGAGACAAGTGGAATGTCATTTCTCGTCCTAGTTGACTGTGGGGCGTCGAGCAATTTATTCGACGCCATTCGCTAGAGGATAGTAGACTCACCTATGTTGAGCGAGAGTTCTCTCCAACGAGAATGACGGTGTTCCTTGCAACAGGAGCATCCGTAATAGTGACCAAACGTGTAGTGGGAATCCACTACATGCTAGAAGGAAAACAATACGATAATGACTTTATCGCATTAGATTTGATGACAAATTTGATGCCATCCTTGGTCTGCCATGGCTTAGATAATATTAGTCATGGGTTATCTGGCAGCATCGATCCGTGAAGATGCCTGCCGTTTGTTCATCAGATGGCCATCCGATGAACGTCTTGGAGCGTCCACAAGCGTGTGGATGTACTACGAGTGAGTGATATGGCCGCACTTGTGGTACGGTCGTTAGTACAATTAAACAAGATCATGGTGTAGATATCCACTACACTGTGGAACCAGCTTCCGGCACCTGTGTAGAGACACAGGCTGCGCTGAAGGTTCACCACTCGAAATGATCGAGTGGATTGATGCACGGATGCACACCAAGAAGGGTGCATCCAAAAAGAGAGATTAGTGTTGTTCATGATGAACAACACGTTGGAGCGAGATCGACTTACAGAAAGTTGATCGAAGAGGACGTGACTGTGGTAGTACACCGACAGTCAGAACACGTAATGGAAGAAAGTTCCAGCGTCCTGAGAGTGATAACTCCCGAGAGAGTTATGTTGAGGGTGTGGATCCCCAACCACCTGCAGATGTTTTTCCCCAGTAAAGTGCCGAGACAGTGATTGTCATGATAAATGACAGATTAAGTGTAGGCGATTATACACTTGATCTGGCTACGCCCCCGAAGTCAGCTTAGGAGGTAGTCAAGTTGCCAACGCTGGAATCTACAAGATTCTTGCGAGACCTGCGTAGTGACAAGATCAAGCAGATCTGCGTACTCATCACAGAGGACGAATACTTCGCCGATATTCGGTTGACACAAGTGTTTGCTAAAAACGAACGGATTCTCAGTAGCGCATCGATGGATGAGAGTGTCCTCGATGAGAAGACTCCGATTGAGCGATACACGTCTCAATCCTGGGAGTCTTTAAAGACAAATCTTTTGCGTAAGGATTTGGTGGAATTCAGGGATTTTTTCCTGAATCCATGCCATGCGAGCTGCCCGAAGACAAACGCATTAGGCATGAGATCGAAATGAAACTCGGTTCGAAATGCTGTGTCATGAAGCAGTGATTACTGCCTCGTGAACAGGTCACAGCGATCGACAAATCCTTTGTCGATCGTTTAGCGGCTGGTCATGTGAGGGAATCAACATCCTCACACAGCTCTTCGACCTTCTGTGTGCGAAAGGCCACACGAGGGTGGCGGATAGTGCACGCGTTCAACAAACCGAACGCTGCAACGGTACCGGCTCGAACGCCGATACAAATAAGGACGTCATCATGGATGGTATGGCAAAGAGTACCATTTTTCGTCCATGGATCTGATGGATGGGTTCTATCAGATCCTCGTGCCTGAACGAAATATCCCTTACACAGCAGTGAGCACCCCCAGTAATATGCTCTGGGAGTGGCTAGTGATGCCACAGGGGCTAAGTAATGCCCCCGCAACGTTTAACAGATGTGTAACAAATCTGTTGCGATCGGTGCGCGACCTCGCACCGAGTTATTTCGACGATGTCTTTGTCCATAGCCGGACTATGGATGGAAAGACGGACGTGGAGGTTCATAGAATCCACGTCAAAAGGTTCTTACACTAATGCGAGAGCGTAAGTTGTTCGCGAACCTCAAGAAGTGCATATTCGCAGCGAACGAAATACCACTTATTAGCTGCATCGTGGGTAAAAACGGTGTACGCCCTGATCCGAAAATTTCAAGGCGACTAGAGACTGGCCTGTGCCAGTCGACGTCAAGGAACTTCGAAAGTTCCTTGGATTGGCGGCTTACTTGCACAAATACTCGTGCAACTATGCCGAGATGACCGTACATCTCTCTCGTCCACTAAAGAAAAACGAGAGGTGGTCATGGAGCGCTGAGTGTCAGCACTCTTTTAAAGTCATCAAGAAAAGCTTGGTGCAATCGCCTGTGTTGGCGATTGCAGATCAGGATAGACCATTTCATGTGGTCTGTGACGCCATCGATTTTGCGATCAGCTGCGCGTTAACGAAGTACGACTCAGACGGCGTTGAGCGCGTCGTCTGTTATCAATCGCGTCAGCTGCAAGCAGCTGAGCAAAATTATTCGGTGCATGACAAGGAACTCCTTGCCATGAATATGCACCGGCCAAGTTTCGGGTATATCTCTTAGAAGATAGGCCCTTCATCGTTTATACCGATTATGCGTCGTTACTCACGGCCGTAAACAGTCCACACCCCTCGCAACGAATGGCGAGGTGGTTGTCCGTCGAGTATAAACCAGGAAGGCTTAATGTCTTCGCTGATGCTCTTTCGCGTCGGCCCGATTTCGAGCCGACTGCTCCAATCAACAGTAGGGGTGATCCCACTGTCGCGACACTAACAGTGACTGTTCCGTCGTCGAATCTGCTCGACGACGTTCGAAAAGCATACGCAGAAGATATGTCTCTTCTGCGATTGATGGATTGCGCATTCAATCCGTAAAATCAAGCTTTAAAAAGCTTGTCGTCTCAATACCGCTCTTCAACCGAACGGTATTCTGTTTGTGACGGACTGCTGTACTATACAGCAGTCAACGGCGACACACCTCGTGTCGTCGTTCCGGCTCATGGTGATTTGCGATTGCGCATCATGTATGAATGTCATGATGCCCCAACAAGTAAGCATCGCGTTAGAGAGAAGATTTACCTCACGTTAAGTCGTGACTTCTACTTGCCCCGCCAGTATGAGTTTGTGCGCAAATACATTCGCGCTTGCGGAGTTTGTCAGCGGGTGAAGCCTAGTCTTTCATCACGCGCACCGTTGCAGCCTTTTCCGATTCCGGCAGAGTGTTGGCAGTCCGTATCGATGGACGTCGTCTTCGAGCATCCCAAAGACGCTACAAGAATACTGGTATTCTTGTGTTTGTTGATCGGTTCATCAAGGTGGTACATCTTGTTGCTCTACCGGACTCAATCACAGCCCAGGACTGTGCTCGTGTCTTCATCGATACTATCTTCTGTATTCACGGGTTACCCGATGAACTCGTGTCCAATAGGGACCCCCGCTTCACATAGGAGTTATGGCAATCCGTATTCCGTTCACTTGGAACACGTTTGACGATGTCAGCTTTTTTCTGACCATCCAAAAACAGATGCTCAGACGAAGGCTTCACCGCGTCCTCGATAAGATATTTATAGGGTATGTCCACTCACTTACGAGCTGAAGTGAGTTCTTGCCGATGGCAGAATTCGCCATCACAACTCGGTGCACGCGTCGACAACGCAAACACTATTCTTCGTGAATGGCCTGCGCCATCCACGTTAACTCTTTTTCTTAGAGTGTGACTCTAACTTAAGAGGGGGTGGACTTGCTCGAACAAAAACCGATCCGGTTCTTGCTCGAACAAAAACCGATCCGGTTCTTGCTCATTACCCGTCGACAATGGTGTCGACGTGATGGATGCCGGTGTCGATGCGGTCGATTTCGATGATGATGATGACGACGATGCTGGTATATTCAGCAACGCCAATGACCGCCAAAGTGAGGACGATGACACTCTCACTGGTGAAGACGATGTTATTTCAGTATTGCACACGAAACGCACTGCTGTTGACAAGGAAGAATCAGCAGGGGAATTTCTGCTGACTCGCGAAGCGGTTGTCCACTTTGTTTAATGCTCTATTGCAGATGCACTGGACAGACAGAAAAGAAACATATACAAACATGGAAGAGCAAACGTTCTTTCATTTGATGAAGGGGACCTAGTTTTACTATCCACAGTAAATCTACCGAAACACGCAGTGACAAACGTGGGCAGCAGTAAATTACTACCCAGGTACATCGGTCCATTTCGTGTGTTGCGCCGAATAGGCAACGCGAACACGATTAAACTGCCCGGTAACCTGCTCACGCAGTAAAGCGATGTCCTGAAGAGCTACAGTCAGCTCGTTACGAAGAGAACGAATCAAACGTTCGTTCTCAAGTTGCGCGAGCGCATACGCGGCACGATCGCTCGAGCGATCGTGCGCTAAGGAATTGTAACTACCCCTTTCAAGATTTTGGAGCTCGTAACGCCGAGTCCGTTCATGAATCATGCCATCTTGCAACTGTTCGTTACACGGTTCAGATCTTGAATATCAAGATGATCCGACCCTCGAGCCGGATCAGGTGTTCCCGCCGCCACCACATATTTTGGTGGACTCAGGCGGTGGTCAATGCTTTCTAGTGGAGCGTGTTTTGAACCACCGCGACGTTAATGGCGTCCGGACGAGTTACCTCGTCCGCTGGCGTGGCTATCCACCGGCCTGGTACAGCTGGGAGCCTCGTGCCCAGATATATGTTGATGTCCTGGGTCTCGTCTCGCATTACGACGAGACCCATTCGCTGTGTTCGAGAAAAGGCCGTCGGAAATGATCTCCCCAAACGCGAGTACAGGGATCGCAAAGTGTCAATCCCTTCGGCCACCTCAGAAGATATGCGCGCCCTCTCGTAGGGATCATTAGGGAGGAAGTCTCCCTAGGGGCATGGTTCGAATTGTCCAGGCAACCTGGATACGAATCACCCCACGAGAGACAGCGTAATCCTGTCTCAGTTGAAAGCCGGTGCAACTTGTATCGCGCCCCGACTGGGTTGCGCTTCTCAAACGTGATGCGAGCTGCAACAAGCTTGGCGAGCCAGGCCTCATGGCCAATACACTCGATGTTATGTATAAGGGCATTTCATCCTTGCACCAACGCTTTGCCGTCTCGAACACGGCTACCATTGTACCACCGATGTTTGAAAAGCGCATCGGTGAAACATTCTTCCTCAGCAAGGATAGTTTCCGTGCTAAAATCAGGTAAACAAATCTTCCTACAGTCGAGAAACGGGATTCGATCCCGTCCGTTAGTCAAACCGGTAAATTTTTCTGACTACTTGGAAGATGACATCCAAAGAGACTCCAACTGAGGAGCGTGGCGCAGGACATCGCGGTCCATGATTTATTGAGTGGTGTCAGCATGAGGACTGTCACCAGTAGCATCTCGATCCCTCAAGTTGGTCCTCTCGTGGTGATGTATAGGTGCATCACCACCATCCCCACGCGTCCTATTGCTAGATGGCATTACGTGAGACAAAGATTCGTCGGACGAATTGCTCGGTCCGAAGATCTCGGACGTGATGCCGCCGCATTCCCCAGATCCAGTCAACCTTGCTCTTGAAGGGTCCGCCCCGGATGATCTGGACACTTGAGGTGTCGTCTTTGAGTTGGATACATCATCCGAATCACCAGAATAAATGAGCTCAATTCCAGGCTCATCTACATTGCGCTCGCAGTACCCGCTGCACACGCAGCGGATGTATCTGTCGCACGTTGTGACTGACCACGTGGAATGTTTCCAGCAGGCACCGCCTGTTGCTGAATCGCAACCGCAGACGAAGCATCACCTGCTGATGAAGCAAGATAAGTGCTATCATCGCCTGCACGCATGCGTGCAACCGCCTTTCTGGATGCTTCGGCAGCAATCGCATGTTCTTTGACACCATGCGATTAATTGGCAAATGAATAGGAATTAAACAACAAGTGCTCTCTTTCTTATAGTGACCCAAACGGTGATCACCCTATCTCAATCAATCGAATTTCAATCAACGGGTTATTGATGGTTAAGGGGGGGTGATGTAACGGGCAGCCCGTTACACGATATTGATACCGAACGGTGTCAACACCGAACGGTATCAATAGGGATATTGTCGAGAATGACAATATTCTACCAATATTATCTGAGGTGGATAAAATTGAAGGAATATTATCCCTTCTTGATAATATCCATGCGCTGCTCAAAGATTTGTTGATAAAGACAAATCAACCAGGGTCACCAATAATCGCTGCTAGACGCGCGCAATGAGTGGTGAGCAGGTTGTCTTGATCTGACAATGTAGATCTATTTAGTTAGATAAAGACTGAAGTTATTAATAGCTTAACTATATTTAATACAGTTCTCTTTTTACGTTTTACTCAAATGATCTGTCTGAGTAAATTTACTCCCTCTGCAAGTACTAGTGTACGTGAAGTTTCGCGGCACCATAAACAAAGGGTGACCCGTTACAAGAAGCTTCGGGGTATGTATGACGTTGTTTGTTGCGATCCGTGGTGCTGTCTACGATGAAGTGACACACCGTGCAAATTGAATCCTATAGCACGAAGAAGGGTCGATGAGTAGGTGGATCGTATCCGTCCCCTTCCGCAACGTCGCTCGATTACACCGATCATGATAAGAACTAGTTCATGCGATTTCACGACTTCAACATACTTCGTTGACTCAGTGCTAACGCCTAGAGGTGTTGAAGAGTCCATCATCTGTATATCTCTAAGCAGATAAACGAGGTACTTGCGCCATTCGTTATGCGTACTTCGAGTGTGCGTGCGAGTGCACAAAAAGGTAAACGCCTGGTGGCATAGGCTGAAAAGGACCACATACCATCCATCTTCATCCCTCGCTAACGCGTGCACCATCGCCGGTGGCTGTATCATAAATTTAGGTGGGCGTAGTGCATGTATAAACCAAGCTTTGCTTCAAAGTGCTACATTCTCCATGTTCACAAGTAACTTCGGTAGGAACGCTGATTCCTTGCCTTTTCAATGTACCAGCCGATGACACCACGGTGCCACTGCACACATTGTTGATTGTCTATTATGTATGTTTCGCACATTGTTCAATGGATTCCTTTGTTTTTGTCTAGGTAACATGTGATGGTATTTCTGTGAGTCCTGAATTTTAGATATGCCTGTTTAGAAACTTCTTGTTTAGCTGTCGTTATGTTACAGGTTCAACGGATATAACATGTGACGGTGACACCTGATTGTTTGAGTCCACAAACATCTTGACAGATGGTAAGACGAGGCTACGAAGGTGACAGATGGTGCGACGAGGCGGCCACAGTAACAGGTGTCGTATGAGGATGGTAAGGGACCAGGTGGAGGGACGAGGTAGAAATATGGCCGTTGGATGCCATGGAGACGGCTTGCAAGAGAGAGAAAAGACGGACGCGATCATGTCATGGTCAAGTTGCAGTGCATGTTAGACTATAGTGTGATGCGCACGAAGTTACCACTTTGATATATTCACTTCCGCTTCTCCCTCTTCGCACACAAGTGCGTAAGTCTCAACCACATCCTGTTTATCCTACAGGTTATGAGCCCAAAGTACAAGTCCGAGGCCGGTGCGACTGCACAAGCCAAATTAGCCAAGGTTACCGACCTTCCTAACAAGACCGCTGGAAAACAACTTGAAGAGAAGTCGGCAGCGCCCATGGGGACGATGGACAAGATGATGGCGATGGTCGGGGACATCAGCGACACAATGAATTGTTTGTAGTTGTCTCAGAGAGAGTAAGCCGATAGGGACGTCAGGGAACCTTCGGAGTCTTTTTTCGATTCAGTCCTGGGAGCGGGAGTGACTCTCCAAGCTTTGGATGGAGATCTTTCCTGGAAGAAGTCTCCAACCGATTTTGGAGCAATGCGTCAAGACTTCGGATATGTTGGCTTGCATCGTGGCAAATACGGTGGCGCGGAAGCCAGGATGGGTGCGGTGCCGGAATCGACACACCCCAGGCAAGAAACACCCCCAGACATGTACCCCGGTGTCGGCATGCCTGACAGGTTTTTTGCCGACGAAGACCCTCAAGTCTACGGGATGCCGGACGCGAAGGATCGGAAACTCGCACTTCAATCATTCAACGTCAAGGAGCTCTACCTGTGACTGGTAGTGGGTTCGTCGGATGGGGAAAGGAATTAGTACGGCAAAATGCATTCACGGAGCGTGCATGTGGATTTGCATGGCCGAAGGACATCAAGGTCGACGTGCTGGGACAGCATCTAGGTTGCAAGGCTCAGATCTACTATCGTTGACAGGTCGAGTCTTGGTGGATGGAAAGCCAGACCCTGGACCATGCCATGCAAAGCATGGTCCAGACTTTCAACACCAAGCTCTCATTTGGAAAAAGCATGAAGCTCTTCACGGCACCGAAGGCGGCACACAGAAATTGGATGGACCATTACCTGCATCGAAGGCCGTGAGTGATGCGTCTGGAGGAGCGGACAACCTGGTGCTTCAAAACAGCGTCAACTACGCGAACCCAAGAATGAGGATGACCATGTTGTCGAGGTTAAACGTTCACCGACCCGACTCTCTACGGCAAGCCGAAGAGTTGGCTCAGTTCGCACAACATGTGGAAATTGAGTCGCATGCGAAGAACTTGGGTCGCGACGTGGTGAACGCGGTTATGCCACGAAGGGAGCCGAAGGAGAGGGTCACGACAAGGTCAAGAACGAACATTGATGAAGGCGATCAGCGTACATGCTACAGGTGTGGGGCAGTTGGCCCCAAGGTGTCCACGGGCGAAAAAAAAGGATGCAAGTGCAGACTTCCCGTTTACAGTCGGAAAAGGTGGTGACCTCCATGATGATCACTGGATACTCGACAGTGGGTCCAGCAGACACTTTGTCAACGACTTAAGGCTGTTGATCAACCCCGAAGATTGTCGGGGTGAATGCTTGACTGCGGCCACCGAAGGAGGTGTGCTTCGGGTGTGTAACGGGGCACCCTGAAGCTTGTACTGATGACAGTACAAGCTACTCATTCCGATGACAGAATAAGGCGGTACCGCGTAATTTCACGTACACTGGTATGTGCAGAGGAAGACGGTAAGAAGAAGCGAGTACTTGGTTAAAGTAAAAAGTAGAACTGTATTTATAATAGTTAATGTCTGCAATAAATCACTATTTATCTTCATCTAACTATGTCTGAATACAAATGTGTAAATCAATTATCTGCTCACCACTCATTGCGTGCGTCTGTCGTGGCGCGTCTTCGTTGGTTGATATAATGGCCTACATCAACCAATTAGGAACTACTCGTAAGTGCTACAGAATATTTGTCCTTATGACAATATTCTGAGAATATAACTCTTATAGCTATATTCTATTTACAATTTCTTATAAATTGTTATGTAACGATTCACCCCGTTACATCACCCCCCCCCTTGACCATCAGTCACTTTAGTGACTGATTGACTAAATGGATACTCGTCCCAAATCATTTGGGACAGGGTTTGCACTTGTTGGTCCGAGTCCACTTTCCAACATTTCATCGCATGGTTAACAAGCCCATGCGGTGTGCGAGCAAGGCCGCCGAGAGCGCGTCCGCACGTCTCTGTGCGGGAGCCGAAGCAGAAACCACAGCAACTGATGTCTCATCGGTTGCTGAAGCGACCCAGCCTGTGTCACTTGGTGATGCAGGCGCTGGTCATGAAGACACTCATGTCTTTACAGGGTATGAGCTCGGTGTCTCATACTCTCCTGATACGGAAGACGGATCCGTATCGACGGCGATCGAATCCAAGCCGCCTGCCAAGCGTGGCATGGATGATGCTATGCGTCGTAGCATCTTTGGTTCATCTGATGAATCAGATGAACCATCGCCGAAGCGAAGGCGCTCGAGGTCGCGAGACTCGGGCGCTAACAGTGGTGTCGGCTCTCATATGGACACCACTTCGCAACGAGGTGCCAGTCCTTCCGTCGGCACGTCGTGTACCGCTACTTATCCTGTCCCAAAGGCTATATCTTCCCGACGGTAATGGTGCCCAAGGGTCCTTCTCCCACATCTGAGTGGACACCTCGTCTGGCGTGTTTGGCCAAGATCGCGGCCTTTTAAGCCTAAATACCTTGGGAGACAGCCACACATCGGATTGCGCCGATCTCCTTCCCTCGTACCGGCTAGTTCGACCAGCCCGCCTCTCTATACTTGGAGTCTGAGGATCGAAACCGACAGGCTTTGTGGGAGTCGACGCACGCGATCTTCCTTTCCAGTGAACAGCGGGCCAGCGATCCTGATCTGGACCAGTTCTGGAAACAGCGGAAGTAGCGTCGGTCGCGAGCTTGGTCTCGGTGGAAGGCGATCCTTCGATTCATTTTGCAAGGTATGATCGCAGGTCATTGTGATCTGGACATTCTGTTGGAACCTTTTTTTCTGCACTACCCCTCTTTTAAAGAGGTTTCCCTTTGATTTCCTGGCCTGGGATGCAAACCGAAGGGCATCCCCAATTTGATCGCTGCTCTCCCGTTGCTGGATGCCGCTGAACCTTGGCGTTCTCAGTATCGATCCTGTATCGCTGACCACCCCGGATCATCGATCGCACGATTGCCAGGTAAGTTTTTTCCTGCTTGATCGCTAAGATTCGATTCAGCATGTTCCATAATTTAATACAATCTTTCTTGATCCTTCATCTTGTTCTTCATCCTGAGATCAACTTGTATTCTTCGGCTTTTCAACCGCGATCGGATCCCTTCGATCCGCTATCGCCACTCATTTTACATTTAGCCCCAATCTATTATCTCATACAACCTCCTTGACCATATGCCCATCCACCATTTCACGTCCACCTTTTAGCATGTGCCAACCGCTTATCGCTTCGATTACCCGTTAAACTTCGGTTTCCTCCTCATAGGACTGCATAACTTTAAACTGGTTTTGACTCGCACGGTTGCGCTTAAAATCTCGCAACAACGCGCCATAGTTCAGGTCCGCTTCGTATATCCAGGTCGGATCGTCGTGTTGCTTCCTTAAAACTAAAAACTGTCGATGCACTCGGCCATAACGTGTTTTAAGTCCTGATCGTACATCCAAAACTTTCTCCACTTCGTATTCGTCAGCAGCCATCTCGTTTTCCCAACTATATTCCGGCAACAACGACTCATCGAAATCCACACGATCCTCACAGTTGGTCACCAGCACACTGCCTGGGTGATCGAAAAAATGTACCACTGGCTTTAGATTGGAGACGTGCACTATCGGGAACAATTGGTATGGAGTTCCTTTAATCTCCACCCGAACAGCATGTTCCCCACATAATCCGCCACTAGGAACGGTCCATGCCACATTTGTGCTAACTTTCGAGCATAGCCGTCTTTGACTCGGTCCAAGTAGAGCCAAACTTGCGATCCGCATTTAATATCACACACTCATTATCGTCATTCTGTCGATCCGCTCGATCTTGGATCGCGATCTTAAGACGTTCGTTTACCAATACTCTTGCCCTCTGATATTGACGTTGGACTCTATATCGCCACCTTCTAGGGTCAGCATCGCATGTTTTAGTGCTCCCCAACGGTAATGTTGCTTCCAATGTCGATCTTGGATCCCAGCCATGGATCAAATAGAACGGAGTGTCTCCACGGATCCGATCTTGTGCCTTATTCATAGTGAATGTCAATCTTTTTGCATATTCATCCCAGTATTTCTGTTCTAAGTCCGTGACGTACATCTTAATAGAAAGATTCAACGTCTGTACCATACGCTATGCAATTCCGTTCGCTTGCGGTCGGTACGCCATGGTCACACGTTGCTTATGTCCTGCGATCCGATAAAATGCTCAAAAAAAATCGGAAAAAATTCCAGGCTCCCTGTCGTGACGTATAACTTCACTGGCTCCAAATCTTTGAAACACACATTCTTCATATCTTTCAGCGATCGTTTGCGCGGTCCTCGACGAACTTGCTCTCGCGATCACATATCCTGAGAAAAGATCTACCCACAGCAGCAGTTCTGTGTTTTCTTATAAAGACCGCGGCAATGATGGGATATGATCCATCGCGATCACCTGGAATAGGTATGTAGCCTGCATGCTTCCCGGGGATCTGCCGCGAATCGCGGGTAGACCCTTCCCGGTTGCACAGTCCACGCCTTCGCCAATACAATGTTGTATACTCCGATATAATCCTATTCAGTAAAAATCGGATCTGATCCGCTAATAAGTCCCCCCGTTCCCCTGATTACCACCCTTCAAGCTTGTATGGTAATGGTGCATAAAATCTTGCTGCAACAATTCCGGTACAACCAGACGGACCATCTCTATACGATCTTCCGATTCCTTAGCGGATCGGGGGCTGAAGAACAGCAATCCACTTTCGTCCACTTCGTAGTCTGGAGCTATCCGAGCGCATAATTTTGCATCCTGTGCGTTTAACTGGGTCAAATCGCCCACAAGATATTCCTTCAGGTTGGCGATCCAGCTCTCTTCCTCTTGCGCTTATTTTAACCGCTCGATTCGCATCCGCTGCACTATTTTTTCTTGTAAAACTTCGGATTGTTGACGCCTTCGCCGCGCGGATCATGTAATCGCTATCATTTTCACCACGTGATCCGTCCTTTCCGGCAGAAGCAACTCGTGCAGCCTGTTTAGTGATATTAAATCTTGCAATATGTGATCTAAGTTCACAATTACACCTTCCTCTTGCTGCAAAGCTGCACTGGCTAGTCGATCCACACTTTGGTTCCACTCCCTCTTCATGTGTAGGAACTTGTGTTTTGGCCAAGATCGAAGTTTATGCATTGCTTTATGACGCAATAACTGTAGCCCGGGCGCTTTACGACCCACTCTCCCCGCACTTGCCTTATCACTAGGTTCGATTCACCACATATAATGACTCGTCCCCTAGTTTAATTGTCCAGCAGATCGAGACCCAACAACATGCCACAATATTCTGCTGCATTCACCGTCAGATCTGCCGCGTATTCCAAAACGGCTGAGATGATGGTCCATTCTGGTAGCTTCCACACGATCGCACTATATGCCTCACTCTTTTGCTTAGTCCGTGCCGATTTCTCGAAACTTACCACCAACAGGCTTTCATTCGTACCTACCGTGAGAGGTAGCATAGTTACCACTTGTTCAGATTTCTTCCGTGAAGCGATCGCAATCAACACATCATCTACCTCATCTCGCGGAGTTATGTTAGCTGCGAGAGCGCCTATTATTCCATCCTCTCCTTTGTTACATATTGACCTCCAGTGTCCAATTCGATAGCAGCGCAGCCCATCTTCCCAGTCTCCCATTGAGGCCAAAAAATTAAGCTAGCCAAGCTAATGTCGAACATCGAGTGAGCACCCTGATCTCTCGGAATACAAGCATGGTGTAGCACACTTCCAAGATTCGAAGTAGGGGTAAAACTTCTTTCTCCACCATACCATAATCAGCTTCATTAGGCTTCAGTGTGCGACTCGTGAATGTCACCGGCCAGTACACGCCGTCATATTCTTGCAATAGAGATGCCGATACTGCCCACTTACTAGCATATACCACGATCACTGGAAGTCGATCTGGATCGAAATGTTTGAGAATCGGGGTTGTAGCGGTATTGGTCTATAGCAAAGTGAATGCAATGGCGGCCCTTTCCCACCGATACCGCTCATTTGGATCATGCTCACCCACTTGTAATGTGTTATCGCATCTTCCCGATATCGCTCAAAGATCTCCCATACGGCTCATCTCAAAAAAAATCGCCCCTCGTAACTCGTACAACACAGATGCACATACTGCAAAATCTTATATAAAACGACTGTAATAGTTTAAGCTACCCAAAAACGATTGCATGGATCGAAAAGTTGTGGTAAAATGAATGTTGACCAGCGATCCTAGATCTTTAGGATTGGCCTCCAACCCAGCCAAAGATACCTGATGACCTAAGTAAATCACCTTACGCCGTCCCCAAAACCTCTTAGTCAGACTGAGAGACAAATTCCATCGATCGCATGCTGTCAATAATCTTTCGACCTTGTCGTACAAAGATGTCCATGACGTAGCCGGGATCAATATATCGTCAGTATAAGATCGCCTACCCAGCACTGACGGCGCTTGATCCGTTTCCGGCTCTCCCTCAGTAAACACATCAGTTCACTTAGGATGATCCGTTGCGTTCACATCCTCATCTGCGCCGATCTTGAAATAACCATACAGAGCATTATCAATTAAACGCTGATAGATCTGTGGGGCGTTCTTCAATCCAAAAGGTATCCGCAACCATTCAAACAGACCTGAAGGCGTGATAAACGCAGCGATCTATCTTGCTCGTTCGGTCATCTCTACCACCCAAAATCCACTCGCCATGTCCAGCGAACAATACCACATTGCTTTGTCCATGTCCTGCAACAATTCAATGATAAGTAGCATAGGGTACACCATCAGCTGTGTTGGCTGATTAACTCGTCGAAAGTCGATACACAGTCGGATATCTTCTACATTTTTCTTAATAATTATGACTTCTAGTGATGCCCACGGCGATGTCGAAGGTCGGATAACCTTGGCTGACAACAGGCCTTTTATCAGATCGGCCAACTTCTCACGAATCTTTGGCGCAACAGGTCTCACACGCTGAGCGATCGGCCTAGCCTCTCCCACATCAATATCACAAACGGCCCCGCGTGCTGCAGGAGGTATTGCATTTCCTTTCCCGATCAACAGGTGACGACTCTTCCATATCAGTCGTCGCAAATCCTCTTGATCCTCTGTCAAGGGTATTCCAGGATCGCCAACCTGGACATCGTCGATTGTTATCTCGGTCGTGGATATGGTTACCTCCGGCAGTACAGCCATGTGTTGTTCCACATCTTCCGCGAACAGTTACCCTCTTTCGTAAAAGTATGTTGATCCATCCGGTACATCATTTTTATCACTTCGCCGTCGATCGTAACAGCTTTCACGTCATCATCCAGTCGTGTAGACTGACCATACACCTCCCGATCTTCAACCTTGATCCCGTCTGGGTGACAGTTAGACTGTCCTTGTAGCTAAATAGTTGTCTCATTATTGTATTTCGGTGTCATAGCCTCCTCTGCAACCATGTCTTCTTCACCCGAATGTTCTGGCGTCTTCCGCACAGCGCTGACCGCACACGATCTCTTTGTAGATCTATCATCCTTGTCTTTGTTATTCTTTCCACTCGTACATTCGTCCTGCAACTCCTCATTAGAGTCACCATAGAGTCGGATAGTGAGGCGATCTCTGCAGAATCCTTGATGTCGTCTGATTTCCGAATTTTGAGCGTGTCAAAATTCGGATAGGTTTCTCATACGTAGGATGATCCACTAACGGTCCTGTGTAGGCTCCGGCTTCTTCTTCTTGATCTGTAGTGGCTTTAAAAGCCAATGTCTGCCATTCCATGTAACGCCGCGATCCTACAAAGACATATCCTTTAGATCGCGGGATCATGTCTCCTGTCAACCACAACGCTGAAGGGGCCCCGCAGTTTAAGATCAAGTTACGATCGCTTACATTTGTACGCTATAGGAACTTTATCTTTCCGGGACCATTCGTCACGGTAGGAATCCACGCCACATCCCGTCGCACTCAAAGCTTAGATTTAGGAGGATTGACGCCGATCCTGACTTCTGCCGATTTGCCGGCCGCAATGGCTATATATTGATCGTTAATGTTGACCGCCGATATATTCGATCGGTACGGTGGCCTTCGTACAGCCAAACAGATTTGAACTTCATCGGGGAGGCAAAGAGTTCCGTCGGCCAAATCCAAACGGATACCTGCAAGAACCATGAAGTCCATGCCTAGTATAGCTTATTGACCGACTTGACCCCCAACCCAGACATCAAAATAATACACTAGTGATCCGTTCAGTGTGATGTTGATCTTGGTCCGTCTTACCGTCATGTTAGTACTCTCTACGATCCCAACACATTCTTGTGTTTGGTTATCGTCTATCATACACCCTACCTTACGAGTAAAGGTAGTGTCGATGATCAAGATCTCCGCACCAGAGTCAAACAGAAAAGTGGCCTTCTCATTATTGATCTTGCCCACTGCTTTCGCTTCTTTGAACCATTTTCCCGAAGTATGATACTTCCAGTATCCCCTCGACTCACCTGGGGTGAGACCGAGCTCCATCTCCACCGGGGATCGGGCATAATAGTTCACTCGCTTCACACTTGAAACTTGATTTTAAAGAGGTCCGTTTTAAACGATCACATATATTAGAGATCGGATCACGCCGATCCCTAACTCCTTGGTCATCAGACTTTTTCTCAACAAATGCATGTATGCATAGCCCAGAACGCTCGGCTCGTGCCAGATTCCAACCTGGCGAGCATCCTAGTTCATCATTTCCTCGACCTTCGGAGAAAACACACCCACATGCTTAGTAGGCACGTACCATTGGCGGATCAAGTTAAAAAAACTTTTCCATGGGGTATTTGCCATTCTCATGTACCTCTCCTCATGCTGCACACACGTAGAAGCACTTTTCCGATGGATGCCCTTTGCGACCGCACTTCTGGCACGTTAGTCTCTGCCAGCATCCACGATCATCATGTCGCGTCGATCTGCAGTGGGTGCATGCCTTCGATTTTCCACCTCGATCACGTCCATCTCCTTCACCAGTATTCTTCTGCCAGGTACGAATTTTTGATCCGATCTCTCTTGAACAAATGTTGTGTTCACACAAGCTCGGCGGCGATCCTTGTCTTAATCCGATCCAATCGAGTCCGATTACGATCCGCTACTGTCGACCCGCTCACGGATTGCCTCCACCACCCGAGCAGTCTTGGATGGCGTAGGATTTGGGAGGCGTTAGCTCGCTGGTGGAACTTGTTCGATCCTGTCGACGTCTTCAACTGACGACTCTCCATCCTTTGGATTGCACGTAACATCTCATTCAACTCATTAACATCGGCCAATCACAGTAGGATCAGCTGCTTGGCCAGATCGCGATCGTCCAACGTGGCAATGAAATGTTTCACATGTTCACGACGTGTGTCCAATGTGGCCATCCTCTCGTCTCTGATCCCGATCTTGGCATGGTTAGCCGCGAGATTTAGGCGGTGTAGATACTCCTGTGGATTTTCTTCCGATCATTTTCGTGCGAGATAGTATTGTCTGGCCAGAGACACACCTTGCCCTTTATACTGTATTGTAAACTTAGCCAGCAATCTCTTCCACTTCTTTTGGGTGGATCAACATAGTTGGTTATACCAGTTTTGAGCGGGTCCTGTCAGCAGATCTCCGAACACCAAACACTTCTTCTCATCGGGTGTTTGATCGCGCAAGAAGGCCGATTTGACCTTGCTGATCCAGCCTTTGGCCCGATCTTCATCTCGATCCTTGCCACTGAATTCTTTCAGCTCTGCCATCGCCGACACTCGAATTTGTTGAGGTATGCTAGCACCATCTTGCAACGTCTCGGTCGTAGCAACCATAGCGTGTCTACGATCTTCTTGTCCCGAATCATCGGAATCGATGTCGTCAGATTCAAAAACTTCTGGTTGACTGATGCGCGACTGCACCGATTCCATCTCCACATCGAAGGTAAATCTTTCACGGGATCTAGCAGGCTTGATCCTTTGGCTAGGGTAGATCGCTTGATACGCTCGTTTCTGTTGGTCTCGGCGAAAACGTTCTATGGCCTCATCGAGGTATGTCTGCAAGAGTTCTTGCGTATTAGTCGCCATCTGCTCATAAGCGCCTTTGGCCTTCGATCGCGAATTCAGCTTCACCGACTCGACTCGATCGCGTACATGTGTTGCACCACTTGGGCCTAGAGACATTCGCTGGATCCCAACGGAATCGTCCGACTCCATCTCTGATTCTGCCGAGGCATATTGTGAAGATCCGGTGTGATATTCCCTCGGGACATCGGCGATCGTAGCAACCGCTTGATCCGCGGATTCGCACTTCCCCTTCAGAGGAATTTGCTTGTCATACAGCGATCGACACGCATAGACACCTGATCCTGATCGCATTCCAGCAGTTCGTTCGCATCGAACGCCCCAGCGACGTATTTAACATCTTGCAGCAGCTGGATCATCGCGCTGATCCCTTCTACTACGTAAGTCGCCACCTTCGACCGGGATATCGGGCCTTGTATCTCTCCGATTAGCGTAGGTTTCAGTATCCGTAGCACGGGGTCGCTCGATAGCAGATTCTTAAGCGCCTTCCAATGGAATCCCTGCGCCAGTTGATCGAACTGCCAGCTTCCATCTTCATATCCAGATCATCGTCCACGAACTTGGTCGGCTTCACGATCGCTTTTTTGCCGCGATCGTGTCGATCCGATCTGGGCTCTTCTTTCTTAACTCGATCTGTCTCTAAAATCGTCTTCTTTGACATTGCCTGAGTGGTCTTATGCAGTTTTGTTCAGTTTTCGCTGAAGGGATTTTACCAGCGGATCGTGTTTTGCAGCACGATCCGCGGTTATCCCCTGAAGGGACCATAGGAGGGGGTCGTGTTTTATCTTCCAGATAGATTGATCGATCGTCCTATTTGATATTCTTGTCATCAGAGCCCCTCTCAAAACTCTGAAAAATCGGGGATCTTTTAAAATCACGCGTCGGAGGCGATCCCTTTGCCTCTAACGCTTCTATCCCAGGTTCAGTCTTGACTTTCACTTCTTCTTTTAGGGACTCAAGCTGAAATACCGAGTCACCAGAAGATCTGGGCACGCGCACCATTGTGGTGGAGTGGCGATCGCTCATTGTTTGAGTCGATTTCAACTCTTTACTGGCGCACGGACGACCGACTAAAGGAAGGGTACTCCGATTCCGTGTGTGTTGCCTTCCTCACCTTGTGTACCCGTCGGTCGGGCGGGTTGCACTCTTCCAGGTGGACTCATGTTAAAGGTAAACTTGACCGTGTTGAGGATGGGGTTGTGATCGTGCGGAAATCTTCACGCGATCACGGAGTACTTGTGGGTACTGATATAAGTTACCCTGATCTCAACGAGATCGCCTTGTCCACTATGTAGTTGCTTGATCCGCGAGCCTTCTGACCACTTAAGCCGTCTCGCGATCTTGCGCCTTGCCTTTACGTGTCTTGCTGCGTCTGATCGCAGTCGATGTTGCTTGAGAGTTCTTGAACACACCTGGCCAAAACAATCCAGGTGTGATACTTGCGTAGACGTGTAGCGCGACTCTTTATTCGACAGGGGGCCAAAGATCCTACCCGGAAGAGATAACGTGTGCCCTGTGAAGTAGATTGAACCCTGTTTATGTTAACCAACCAGTCTAAACCCTACTACCCCTATGCCTATCCGTATATTCTAACCAGATGCCACGCGTCGCTATTCCAGAAAAATCGTCACCTCGCATTTGTGTGGTCCACACCTAGTATATCAACCGCTGTATCTTCTTGTGGCCCACCCAAGATATCTCCATGATCCTGCTAGCGAATCGTAATCCTACTAGCGGACCGTGATCCTACCAGCGGATCGTGATCTTACCAGTGGATCGTGATCCTACTAGCGGATCGTGATCCTACTAGCGGATCGCAGCTGAGATCGGACTTGCGATCCTGGGTTAGGATCGCGGTCTTCCAGTGAGATCGAGGGTCTTGACTTGCCATGTCTCATGACGGATTGTGTAATCAAAACAGGTGTGACCACCCTATAGCCTCGTCTCAGGCTGTACGATCCTGTCCACTTGGGGTTTGGGTACGCTATTGCCCGCTACCCATCCCGGCCTATATCCACCAATCATAGCATTCTTGGCTTAACTGGAGCGTGCGACCCGTGCGATCGCCTATCCAAGTCCCAATAGAAGTTTCTTTGTGACCGCTTTGCCACAATAGCAGCATGTTGCTGGTCTCTGCTTAGAGACTCCAACAGACCACTGATGGCGGGTTCGCCCATGATCACACCTATGCGGCCGAATACCTCCCATTCTGAGTCACTCAGATGGGAGTAGCCTTCACATGTGACGTGAAAGCTGTCGTCTTCTACGTCCAACATGTTCATGTTGGTTGGACACTAAGTAGTCGTTGGACGGACTACAAAGTGCTACCAGGTGTAACGGGGCACCCTTTGTCTGGGTGCCGCGAAACTTCACGTACACTAGTACGTGCAGAGGAAGATTATCTACTTAAACGACTCGTTTAAGTAAAGGTAAAAAAGAGAACTGTATTAAATATAGTTAAGCTATCAATACAACTTAATTCTTTATCTAACTCTGTTAAACTACATTGTCAGATGAAGACAACCTGCTCACAACTCATTGCGCGCGTCTGGCAGCGATTATTGGTGACCCTGGTTGATTTGTCTTTATCAACAAATCTTTGAGCAGCGCATGAATATTATCAAAAAGGGATAATATTCCTTCAATTTTATTCATCTCGGATAATATTGGTAGAATATCTTGATGCTAGACAATATCCCTATTGACACCGTTTGGTGTTAATTTCATGTAACGGGCTACCCCGTTACAATCAACACAAAACGGCGACGATGTCTATTCCGAAGCTGTTATTAACTGGTCAACGTCGGAGTGTGCGTCATTGTTCAATTTGTGCTACGAGCACTCGAGACAGATCACCAGATTAAGTACCGATGACGCGACGTGCCTCTCCAAGCAGAGATAATCGTCGCGATCTAACGACACCCGCACAATCGCTTCCCGTTGTCTTACAGCATCCAATATCGTATGTGCAGAGCTGATTCCGGTCACTCGCCATTACACACGTTCGCCATTTTTTCGACAGTGCCTGCTACTTTGACGAGATGTTAATTTCCAGTGTTACCATACAGTCTGTGGTCTGTCTGGCCTTTCTAATGACGCTCGTTTCCGTCAAGAACTCTGATTTACATGGCTGGTACCCGTGTTCTGGCGTCACGTTTTCTGACAAAGGGAGTGGGACTGACATCATCGCTGAGTTTGCGGTCGACAGAGCACCTTTATGCTACCCCGGTATCTGTAACACCCCGCCATCGGTGGACTTGACTATTGATATCTTTGTCAAACAGTTCCCAGCTACATTTGAAGAACCTGCCATTGCAACAATTGCGTGGTTTGTCCAAGGTGGTCCAGGGTACTCGTCGAGCCCACATACGCTACATTTTGCACCTGGTCTTGCTTGTTGGTATTAACTAATGTCAAATTTCCTCCTTCGGTCTCTTCGATGCAGTGGAATCGACCATGAAGTATCTGTGCGTCCTATCGAGGGAAAAGCTAACATTTACACGATGAACCATCGTGGCACGGGCCGCGGCACACGCTTCAACTGTGTGTCAGCCCAGGCCACTACTACTGGCTCTTCTTCTAGCTGCGAGATTGACGTGTTTGAAGTTGCTGCGTGTGCGCAGGATCTCGAATACAAGTTCGGTGACCTGTCTTCTTTTTCCATGACGAATGCTACCACGGACATCGCGACGTTCATCTCCAAGTTTACGAACGGCAAAAGCACTGTCTCTACGGTGTGAGTTACGGAACTGCACTGGTGGAACGGCTCATGCACCCGAAGACCCCGACGGTGATCGATTATGTCTTGGACAATGTTTGCACGACCTCTGCCGCATCTGAGGACACATTTGCGTACTATTCTTTGGGCGAACGCGATACCGGGGAGGTGGGCGACGCTTTCCTCGAGCTTTGCATCGACGACGAAGAATACAGTCGCTACTTTAAGGCTAAGAATTCGTCTACTTCCCTACGACAACTTATTGGAAAGTTTGATAGACTACTCAATATGACCTGCGCTCAGCTAAAAGTGCCCCTACTACTGACCAACCATCGTTCTCGCTTCGTAGCACTCTAGGCTAGATGCTACTTGATCCGAAGTGGCTAGCGTTCATCCCACCGGTCATCAGTAGACTGAAACATTGTGCGAAAGGAGACCGCCTCGTTTTGACGAGTCACCACAGCACTTGTACAACCTTGTCTGGCCAAAAGACGTTTCAGGCGCCTATCAATGCAAAGGATGAGCAAGCTGGAGTTGACAACCGAATATTGCGCAGTTTTGCTATTTTTTGCGGACTATTGCAGGATCAGTCTGCATTTGGATATTAGTGTCGAGCGATCAAAATGTAGCGTGGTGGAAAGTAGCAAATCTAATCTTGTCAGGTGGTATCACCTGAAGAGAAGAAGTGGGTACGCTGCCTTAATACTTGGTAGTAGTATGAATCAAGCTTGAACACCTTGCAGCACGATGCTTTCCATGCTACATTTTTTTATTAACACATGCGTTATGAAAAAGACAAGCATTATTAAATTACCGGTTCGTCAGACAGCGACTCTACACATCGATTACATCGCTGGCTCCATCTATTTTACCAAGTGTGGCAAACGTCAAACGACAGCTGGCCAGTAGGTCGGCCATACGTGAAAAGCGTGTTCGGTCAATCGATGTACGGTCACTATGGCCTGCACCTATTCAGCGAAGGAGTCGATAGTTTAGACCATGTCGAAATCGTCGATCATACACGAGCGGTAGCTTATTCAACAACTTGCAGCACTTCGAGTCGTATACTGCCGCATAGAACCTATAATAGAGCGACATGGACCACGTACGAGTCGCCATCGGCATGCCTCAAGTCCCATATAGTCAAATGCTGGGACTCGAAAGATTTTGTACAATGGCGTGGTCTAGATCCTATAGCTTCATCTGCATCTTCAACGGACATCACACGCGGGAATCGCCTCCTGTATTGGGTAACAGAGAAGCGCGGATGCACAAAGCGGAAGAATCGGTCGCGGATGTCGATAACCTGCTCGCTCGATACAAGATCGATCAATCACGTATTTCAAGCTTGACCTGCGATGGCATATCAGCGTCTTTACGTGTGCTTCAATGCACTTCTTGGGCTAGCAATTCGGCGCTCGAGCTGACAGATGAAATTGTGAAGCTGCTAGTCGCACGCCGTGCAGTTGCATTTGGAGAGTGCGGCTGTCACGTCGTCTTGCCATGCTGCAGTCGTAAGTGAGCAATCAGCATCATGATTCATTTCGCGTTACTTATCGACAATGCGTCGAGAAAGATTTCATGACTGCCTACCATCTTAGAGCAATGTGCATGGTGCCTTCTCTACCTCACGTGGCAAGTAATATGCGCGGGCTTCTGCCGATAGGTGAGTCGCGGTGTAGGGTGGGATCTACCACCCTTCACATCCAAGTCCGGTGCGAGCCTGTGTCAGCGCTTTCGATGCATCGCTTCCCCATGCAGCAGAAGCGCCTGATATAGAAAGCCTGCGGTCGTCACTGTGTTTACGATGCGGTCAATCGACCTTGCGTGCGCGGTATATCTACTAGTGTGTACGGTCTATCACCATGCGTGCGCCGTATATCCCCCTTGCGTGCTTGTTGTCGACAGGGCAGAGCATCAGTACGCCACCATCGGTGATGGCGGGTCCCAAAGTAGCCATACACACATCATGTAATCTGGAGGTATGTGAATGCCGAAGCTATAGCGTGGGATGCGTTGACACCAGCAGCGGTAACATCTTCCCACTGAAGGAGGCTGCCCGAGATGAGGGGCTATGAAAAAATGGCACCTGCTAGACTGTGAAAATTTGGGACAAGATGACGACATGGTAAACCAGTGACCTATCCCAGGGGATGTCCGAAAGGGTTAGACAATACACATGCGTCAGCGACGAGCACATGAAAAGAAGAAAAAGTCCTTCGTCTCCCAAGCAAATTGCGAACGAGTGCTGCAACCAATAGACTACCAACCACGTTAAAATAAGGTTCAGACGAGTGATATAGTACTTCTTAGTCGACATGCCTTCCCTTCCAAACCTACTGACTTGCATTACACACCACCGCATGTATAAAAAAAATTGGGCTACGACAAAATAAAATCAATGGCAAAGCGATCCGGGAAACTTGTTCTCTCGGCGTTCGGGCTGTAGCTGTTGTCGTTGCTTCGTGAAAAGGCATCATCCCTGCTGTCCACATCCGTCGCGCAATCACTCGCATCATCTCGATTCTCCTGCTCATACTCTTGCATCTGGCTGCTATTCTCGTCATCGTCCTTCAGGCGGTACTCGTCAGCAATACGTGCATGCTGCATGAGCAACGCGATGTCCGAGATACTAGCTCCAGCGTGGACCAAAGCGTCCACAAAGCCCACGTCCGAGTCGTAAATCGAAATCTGTCCTTTCGGCGAGAAGTGAAAGTGGTTGACGCCATGGTAGACGACCTTTTTGCCGATAAACCTGCGGACGAGGTCTTCGTTGTCCGCCACATGCGGAAAAACATGGTCAAACGTAGCACGCGAGAGCACCACGTGCAGCTTCGAACGCAGTGTCACAATAGGGTTCTCTTCACCTCCCGACACTTGGACACTCACGACTTCGACATACAAACTCGAGTGGTAGCTCGTGTATTTCTCCCACTGATCCAAAAGAACGTCTAGTCCGACTGCACCACCAAACTGCAGCTCTGGGTCCATCGCGCTCTCCAAAAACGCCTTTTGCTTCCTTACAAACGACTCACAAGAGACGATGCCGTCCAAATATGAATCACCGGCACATATTCCCGGTCGTTTCTGCCCGACTCGTCGAACCGACGGCACCCCGCGCTCAAACAATGCAAAGTACTCTTGTGCCAGCCGCACGAGCGAGCCATCAAGACTGTTGCGACTGCGCAGCGCACCGTCAGCACGTGCACTGCGAAGAAAGCCCAAGTCCGTCACCTTCTGCCGCAGCGAGTTGACGATCGTTACGAGCTCGTTCTCGTACTTTCTGCGACGCGCACGAAAAGCGCGACCCCGTTCGCTGTTCGTCTTGGACTGCTTCACGACTGTCGCCGCCCCGGAGTCTTGGATCCTATGGTCATCATCACCATCCTGATCGTCCCGCACTTGTTCCAGAAAGAGGTTCTGCATCTGCTGTTGGGAACGGATAAAGGGCGACCTGGAGCTCGAGACTTCGCGCTTCCTACCATTCCAAAGGGCCTGCGGACTGCGACCTCCGAGATGGAATTGCAGACCTGCCACTGGACGACGAAAGCTGTCGCTGGTTTCGAGCTGAGACACGCGCATGTTGCACGAACGGGGGTAAGGGTCAAGTGCTGGGCTCGAGTCGAAGCTGGACGCGTGGTGGCAGTGCATCGTGGCCAGTAGTGCCTCGGCACGTTTTTATCTCACATGCACCTGTTGTAGTATCCGCTCGTGAGAGGAGTTTTTCATGTCACTTGGGACTTGTATACCACGCGAACCGCACTGTCTACTAATACCACACGCCCTTGAAGCGACCAATGAACAGTCGTTTCGTCGAAATCGGTCGTCATGTGGCTGCATACGACGCTGAAGTAGGAGCGATTGCAGAGGCCGCGGTCTCATCGTCGAGATCTAGCCACATCAGTTCAACTTCTTAATTTTTTATTGGCGTCCGAGTGACTGAGTTGGGCTATAGTTGCATTGTCCGGCAGTGTACAAAGCCGATTTGCGCATGTCAAAAAGTTCCTGTTTCATAATTTGTGCACATTTGAATGTCGTTGCGCATAAAAATGTCTTCGGCCCGACTTACCTTGATTTTTCAGGAGGAACCGTAAAAAACGTAGGTGTTCACCTAAAAAAAATTGTGATACGGTTAGGCTATCCAATCGCCTTATTTAAATTTTGCCAAAAGGTTAAGAAAAGGCCACTTTAGAGTGAACTTCAACAGAAACGTTTCTAAGATGAGTAGGCCCCTCCGCTTTTCAAACGGACTGCATACTCAATGTTTGGTAGCCTGTTCAGGTCACTGCCTCTCCTCGCAGGCAACCCCCGTAATCAGATCTTTTAATGCAGCAATTGAAGCGTGTGTGTATGCTTCTCGTGCGCTCTCTTTTTGTGTAAAAGTGAAACATGGTCGAGGTTTTTTTGAGAATCAAAGGTTTCTGTCCCTGTACCATGCATTCTCCCGTCGGCATATGCTTAAGACTGGACAAGGGTCGCGCGGGCGGATATGTGGATGAAGAGCATAATTTGCGCCCTATGCTACGGATGAAGGACTGATTTGGCGACCTGTGATGTGAATGACTCACTGAGTTTGCGGCTCATCCAGTGACCTATTACGGTGCGTCATTCAATCGACACAGTATCTTGTCTTATCAGATATTAAATTGTTGATCGATAGACGGACATGAATCGATCTTTTGTTGTGCTGCAAAACATCCATCACCGGCCGGCAATGAATAGGAGAAATGGATTACAGCGGTTTTTCCGACTACATTTAAACGTGCACTATTTCCACTGCAGTTTCCACCGCTTTAGTTCCATCGCTGCTGAGATCACCGTCGCGCTGTTGGCTCCCACCCGCGTCACTGCAGGAGCTGTCGTCCTTGCAACTGAAGACTGCAGCCCATTTGAAAAGCGGAGGGGCCAACTTATCTTAGAAACGTTTCATTTATAGTGGCCTTTCTTAACCTTTGTTGGCATATTTTGATTATGGTGATCGGATAGCCTAGCCGTAAACACGGTTTTTTTATGTGAACACCTACACTTTTTTGGTCCCTTTTTCAGAACCCGACGACTAATGACGACCAGAATGCGCCGTCGCGTACTGCACAGAGCATCATGATTTTATCGATGTTATCTACTATGTGGAGAATGGAATGCACAGCCTCTGTGCGCGCGACACACGCCACCAAAATACGCTCACAAGCATGTTGCAATAATCAGCAGCTCGAGTGGCGCGTCTACAGTTGTTGTCCATAAGACACGACGGAGCGTTTGTAATTTAGTACTGCAAGCACAAAGTATCCTCCTACCAACACGGCGTTGCAAGCTGTTCAGCACTCCGTCGAGTCATGGGGGGTCTCCGTATCAGAATTTCCGGTACTATTCGGTAAATTACATCACTTTTTGTTCGGACAAAACTAGAGCATGAACCCAGATTCCTATCTACCCACGTTTCTTGACCTTTAATGAACGATTGTAGCATTCTTTTCTTGCTCTTTCCTGTCACCGAGAGGTGTCCGTCGTGTTCCGCCAAGTCATATGCCATCCATCAGAGGTCTACATCGATCTGTCTTCTCATTAGTCGATCGATCGTGTTAAACGCAAAATCAGATCTCCCCCATTTAGCCAATTAAAATTTGGTCGAGTCGAAGAAAGATGGTGCTGGTTTTGTTAAATTGTGTGATCGTTGGTGAACCCGACAGCGTTTTCTCCGTGACTATTGACACGAACAAATTAGTGTATACATTGCAGAAAGAGATCAAGGCGATAAAGCGGCGAAGGTCCAGTGCGACGCGAGTCACCTGCGGCTCTTCCTGGTGAAAAATGAGGAAGCGTGGCTGTCAGACAACGATGATTTAAACAAACTGATTTAGGCTGAATCAGTTAATTCTTGATGAGATGGAGAAGATGCGCGCGTCGTGGCTATTAAAGAGCTTATCCTGTTCGATTCCGGTCCTTCTGTTATAGTAGACGTTGTCTACGTGCTGGTGATGCTTCCGCCAACTATGCTTTGGCCGCAAAGCGAGTTAGTCACTGCTGGCAACGCCAAATCTGCCGGGTGCTGCGAGTAAAATCAACACCTGTGACGCAATTTATGCGGTTGATATTTCCTAAAATGAGTCAAGTGATATGGGGATTTATCTGTCAACTGCCCATTGTGCAAGGCGAGTCAACAACTGTGAGTGGTGGCACCATTTTTTCTACACAAACTATGGAGGTGAAACAATCAGAGCTTACGTTTTACAAACCTTGCGAGAGATATTGGCAGAGGTTGTAGCAGATGCTGTGATCACATTACCGAAAGGCACGTTTATTCTGGATGTGCAAAAAATTGGTTCTGTTATACACACCCATCACTGGTATCCGCAGTCGTGGAAACTTTGTTTGAATATTCATTATCGCGCAGCTGATGCAGACCGTTGTGTCATGATCCTCGGTACCCCAGGAATAGGCGAAACTTAGTTCGGCTACCGAGTCTTGTTCTATCTTGCACACGCTGAAACGACGGTAGTTTATAAAGACTTCAGAAGACAAGTGGATGCGTATCCTACTTTCAGCGACAAGGTGGTTCGAGAATTGTGGAAGGACTTTGATGAAGTGCTTGCGCAGTTGGAAGCTTTCACGTGGTGGACGGCATCGAACTATCACGCTGCGACGCGAACACTTTTCTTGTCTCGTCGCCGCGCAAAAATATTTGGCATAAGTATTCATAAAGAATTGGTGTGAAAGTTTTGTTTATGCCAGCCTGGAAGAAAGAGGAGATTGACAGGTGTCGTGACCTGCTGTATTCGAATACGGCAGTGGAGACCGTGAAGGAACGTCACATTGCATGGGAAGGCGTTGCGCGTTATGTCTTGCGCTATGCTCAGGATAAAAATAAACAAAGAGTATTACGAGGCGATTGGCAAAGCTGACTTAGAAGCAATTCTTAATGCGAGTGTGGAATCGAGCGGGGTAGAGCGTGATGTATTGCATCGGTTGCTCCACTTTAGTGTCAACCGCGACTTCAATTATGACGGTTTTGAGTTTGCATCGTAACACATCGCCAAGAAAGTTTGTACGCGCTGTAAATGCGTACTATGATCGAGCTGATCGAATGTCTTTCTGCTTCTCATCAACTTAGCGATGTAGCAGAGTACCGTGGAATCCCGTTTAGCTTTAGGCGCTTTCAGTGCTGTCGCAAGGTGGCGCGTTAAGAATTTGGCACCTGAATTTGAGAACGAGAGGATTTTGCTACAAGTGTCGACCAAAATGGCAGCAAGTCCGAACGAGTCGTTGTTGATAACGCTGGTGATATTGCGACGGACGGCCGCGCGGCGTTGGGACGCGTAAAATTGCGCCTGCAATTAACTCTCTTTTCGAAGCATGAAGTTGAAGTGGTTAATGCCGACTCGGCCAGATTTCTGCAGCCTGCCTCACGTAACTTTGAGTCAGTGAATACAATGGCCAAGCTTAACAAATTGTTCAGGCAAAGTGCACATGTGCATAGCTGTACGAAGTGCACATGTGCATCCCTGCTTGAAAATCCTGCTGCACTGCAGTTGTACTTCATTGCCACACCAGACGTATTCGAGGGGTTCAAATACCAACACTATCATACTGTCAGAGGGAAAAGGTCAAGGTTGTTGATGAAAAATTGAAGAAGTTGGGGAAATGTGTCGCAAAGGCAGACTTCTCGCACGAAATTGATCCGGCGAAAAAAGTCGAGTCAGGTCACGTGAGAAAGAAAGTAAAGAAAGTGAAATCCAAGGCTGTACGCCAAGGTGTGCGAGAACTGGCAGCGTGTAAGTTTCGTGGATGAGTTTTACCTGTTTTGGTTCAGTTGCTTGCATTCGTATCGAACTTGATATTCGAGTTCTTACCCGACTGGCAAATAGTAATTGTAATCTGTAGTTTCGTGCCGCTTTAGCAAGATGGAATAGCACTAGAAAAGTGGTTGTGGTGGTTCTGAGCATCGAGCTAACGTGTCTACGACTTCATCTAGTTTTCGTGTATGCAGCTTCGAATTGCGCGAGCTCACACTTAGAACGAAGCTGAGAGGATCGCACCTTTTGTTAACGCTTCGGACGTAATAAAAGCACAAAGCGATACATCCGCTGTGTACAACTGCATTTGAATGTGATGTCAAGTCAACGTCGCGCGGTCGAACAAAGCACTAGTGTAATGCAAAGTCTAAGAGCGTCGTCAATGCGAAATTAAAGTACTGTAGTTTATGGAGGAACGCAACTTGCATCTTGTACGAGGAACAGCTACGCACAGAGCGTAACACATGCATTAACCAAGAGCTGAGTTCTGCCACACACTGGTGGTCCTCCTGGTCCTGATTCGTTTCGTGTAGAGTTGCAATGATCGATCGTCTCTCGTCAATTTGGCACAAGTGGCAACCAGTCTATGCAACCTACACGAAGTCTCAATGGCTGCATCAAAAATCGACATTGTTGGCTTACACGTGTGATCAACGACTTTCAAACGAAGAAACTATCAGAATTCACACACCGATCAGGTAAACTGCACAAAGAAATAGAACTAGCGAAATGGCGCTTACATTCGTGCTTGCATCAATCTGCATCTCCTGTAAATCAGCATCACCTAGTCTATCTGCCCTCCACGAAGTGCCTCAGCTTCAAAATCGGTGCTTGGGGCAAAACCAACCTGGTCGTCAATAAAATGACGGCATGACAAATCCGCCACGTACTGCTTGTCGGAGTCGCCCCGTTGGACAACTTGGCTTTAACCTGAAAATGATGACACCGAAGTTTGCCTAGTACGTAAGACTTGCAGTCTTTGTAATGATGCGCGCGGACAACAAGTTATTGCATTTGGTACCAACCGACCAGCTGCTAAAACTTATCGATACATCCTACGCTACTTGGGAATCGTGTGATTTACACTTCCCCTGCGTGAGACCTGATGGATGGACCGGTCATCCAGCTATCTCAATATGCTTCATGAGAGCGTGATCTCGTGCAGCCTTGCCGATGCAGCATACAGCCAAAACGATTTATTTATTCGGGCAAGTACCTTGTCTGTACTCTCATAGCATCTACACCGCACTGCTTCCGACCAGCTTGAAATTTTCGGCCAAAAGTGGATGGGCTGACTCCACCGCAAAGCAAAGTCTTCCGAGAGAGGCAGTAAATAGTAAGGTGATACTGTCCGGTTCAGTTCCAGTATCGACAGCAGTAGACCCGAGACTCTGCGGGCTCAGCTGTGGCTCGGATGCGAGTATGACAGCTACTGTAGCCGCTTGGCAGCGTTACTCTTGTTTTTAGTGTAGAAAAAACCGGATATGGTTGATCTTATGCACTCGTGTGCGAAGAGGGAGAAGCAGAAGTGATTCTATTCAAGTGTTAACTTTGTGCGCATCACACTATAGTATAACATGCACTGCAACTTGACCATGACATGATCGCGTCCGTCTTTCCTCTCTCTTGCAAGCCGTCTCCATGTCATCCAACGGTCATATCGCTACCTCGTCACGCCACCTGGTCCCTTACCATCCTCATACAACACCTGTTACTGTGGCCGCCTCGTCGCACCATCTGTCACCTTCGTAGCCTCGTCTTACCATCTGTCAAGATGTTTATGGACTCGACCAACTAGGTGTCACCGTCACATGTTATATCCGTTGAACCTGTCACGTGAAGATGACTAAACAAGACGTTTCTAAACAATCATTTCTAACACTCCTCCTCGGGGTCATCCTGGGTTGTCTTCAATCCAAACATCGCGCGCAGTTCTTACATTCTTGGTGCCGGCAGCGACTTCGTCAGGATGTCGGCCATCATGTCTTGGGACTTGACAAAACTTGGAACCACGATCTCTTCTTTCGCGTAGTTGCAGATAAACTTGAACCTGATGTCCACGTGCTTGGCGCTCGACGTCCTCTTCTCCAACTCGATCTGCTTGATAGGCGCTTGGCTGTCCATCCACATCGGCATCGGCTTGATGACGCTCAACTTCAACTCGTCTAGCAGTCCTTTCATCCTTAGCAGCTCGCGTCCATCTTGAGATGCCGCGATGAACTCTGCCTCCGTTGTGCTAAGTGGCACACCAGACTGCTTCTTGTACAGCCAAAGGATTACAGATCCATCTATGGTCAGAACTGTAACGGGGCACCCTCAAGCTTGTACTGATGACAGTACAAGCTACTTATTCTGATGACAGAATAAGGCGGTGCCGCGTAACCATATGTACACTAGTACGTGCAGAGGAAGACGGTAAGGAGAAGCGAGTACTTGGTTGAAGTAAAAAGTAGAACTGTATTTAGTATAGTTAATGTCTGTTAATAAATCACTATTTATCCTCATCTAACTATGTCTGAATACAAATGTGTATATTAACTATCTGCTCACCACTCATTGTGTGCGTCTGTCGTGGCGCGTCTTCGTTGGTTGATATAATGGCCTACATCAACCAATTACGGACTACTCGTAAGTGCTGCAGAATATTGTCCTTATGACAACATTCTGAGAATATAACTCTTATAGTTAAATTCTATTTACAATTTCTTATAAATTATTATGTAACGATTCACCCCGTTAGATCACCCCCCCCCCTTGACCATCAGTCACTTTAGTGACTGATTGAATAAATGGATACTCGTCCCAAATCATTTGGACAGGGTTTGCACTTGTTGGTCCAAGTCCAGTTTCCAACAATTCATCGCATTGGTTGACTAGTCCATGCGGTGCGCGAACAAGGCCGCTGAGAGTGCGTCTGCACGTCTCTGTGCAGACGCCGAAGCAGAAACCGCTGCAACTGATGTGTCATCGGTTGCTGAAGCGACTCAGCCTGTGTCATCTGGTGATGCAGGCGCTCGTCATGAAGACACTCATGTCTTCACAGAGTATGAGCTCGGTGTCTCATCCTCTCCTGATACGGAAGACGGATCCATATCGAAGGCGGTTGAAACCAAGCCGCCTGCCAAGCGTGGTATGGATGATGCTACGCGTCGTAGCATATTTGGTTCATCTGATGAATGAGATGAACCATCGCCAAAGCAAAGGCGCTCGACACCGCAAGACTCGGGCGCTCACAGTGGAGTCGGTTTTCCTATGGACACCACTTCGCAGCGAGGTACCAGTACTTCTGTCGGTACGTCGCAAGAAGAGCGGGACCGCAATGTGTTGCGTCTCGCTCCTGAGAAGAAGGCATGGATGCCTCCAAAATCCGTCATGGATCACTTGTCGGCGACGACGAGTGATCGTTATCGAACACGATTGTTCGATTCGTCAAGGATCCATCACCGTGACCACAGTGCGAAAGACTATCGCGCTGAGAATGAATTCTTCATCGATGCTTTCTTTAAACATCGATGGTACAGTGGGAATCACAAACGTGATGGTCCCTCACTGCTTCAAGCGTGGAACGCCTACATCCATAACCTTGAGGATGTAGATCGTGACGTTTGGAACGACAAACTTATCAAAGCTCGTGTTAAGTTTGAAAAGCGAACCCCGACAGGTGCACGCTACAAGCTGCATCATCTGTCCAGGGAGAATGGGCTACCCTGTCTCTCCTGGGAAGACCTGTGCCCATGTTGTGTGAACAACTCTGCACGAGCACCTAAGGAGGCTTACCTCCCTAATAGCCCGTGATGGCGCGTACGTATCTCTAGTGAGATGTAAGAAGGGATTGACAACATGAAATCCCTTTACGACCGTTCCGGGAAGTTTTTCTCCAGCGGTCCTTCTGCGGCACAAGATGTGCCGCGTCGTACTGCTCAACCAGACCCAGTACGTCAATCATCAGTTGGGAGCGGGGCTCCCAAGTATCCCAGGACTGATGATAACCTCGCCACGGGACGAGGTAACTCGTCCGACGTCCGTTCACTTTGCGGTGGTTCAACGGCTGCTCAACCAGATAGCGCTGGCCACCGCGAGAGTCCTCTAATGGAGGTGGAGGAGGAGGGAAAACCCCCCTCCAAACTATCGTGGGGAAGCGTGTGTTCCCGAGAGCTTCTTTGATCGCGTAACGCAAGGGTTACGCAACGGTCTCGAACATGAGCGGGACAGGCGTCATCAACTGGTGGACACTGTCTTGAAGCATCGAGCTGAGTACGCTATTGCTCAGCTTGAGAACGAGAGAGCTTTGATATCTCTGCGTAATGAGCTAAGGGTAGCTCGTGTGGATGTTGACTGGTCTCGTGCTGAGATAACTGCTCCTCGGACCCTTGTTGATGTCCACCATCGGGAGCACAAGGCTCGCTGTGAGATGCTTGAGCGCAAGGGCGTTCTTCATCGGAAGAAACAGCGTACTGATGGTACGGCTTAAGCCGACCAACGTAAAACGTGGGATGCGTTCGCATCTTACGTGGTAACTCGATCGTGTATGCATTGCCTAGGCGGTGTAATACACGAAATGGGCCGATGCACTTGGGTAGAAGTTTACTGCTACCCAAGTTAGTCACTACATGCTTTGGTAGATTAACTGTAGACAGTAGGACTAAGTCACCTTTATTGAATAAAAGAGTGTTTGCCCTTCCATTCTTGTCAGTGTTTTGCTTTTGCTTATCTAACGCTTCGGCGATGGAGTCTTGCACAAAACGGACTTCCGTTTCACGAGCCAGTATGAACTCATCTGATGACTCGTTAGCTTCAGTGCGCTGTGAGTGCACTGCAGCAACATCAATCTTTTCTTCAGTGAGGGCTTCCGCACTCTCACTGGCACCATCTTCTTCGATGTCGATGTTATCGATATCGGCATCAAACGCAATGACCTTATCGTCAGAGCGTGATGAGCGTGAACCAATTTGGTTTTTGCTCGCGCAAGACTCTCCCCCTCTTAAACCAGAGTAACACTCTAGTAAGGTGGGTACACGCGGATGGCGCAAGCCATTCACGTAAAACGGTGTATGTGTCGTGGACGCATGCACCGAGTTGTTAATGGCAAACTCTACCATTGGCAAGAACTCACTCCAACTCTTAAAGGACTTGACTTCAATCGTTGACAGACTTCGCATGCGCGAACATACTTTCGCACAAACTGATACTGGCGGGGCCAGTAAAAGTCTCGACTCACCGTGAGATATGTTTTCTCCCGGCCACGATGTCCTCCTATAGGAGCATAGTGATACTCGAACATGATCCGCAAACGCAGATCAGTATCATCTGGAATGACAACACGTGGTGTGTCACCAGAAACGGCTGTATAATACAGTAACCCGTTGCGAGTAGTGTATCGATCTGATGCAGATCGATACGTAGACGACAATCGTTTCAAAGATTATCGAGATGGTTGTGAGAGATGTGTCAACAACTTCACAATTTCACCATCTTGGGCATACGCCCGCCTCACATCATCATGCAACGTTGTAGATGGGACTGAGGACGTCATAACCGCAGCAGTGACTGTATCACTGTTGGGTTTCGCGACTGTTTCAAAGTCGGGACGACGTGAGAGTGCATCAGCGACGACATTAAGTCGTCCTGGTTTGTAATCTACCATACAGTTGTATTCTGCAAAGAATGATAACCACCGCACCATGCGTTGTGAAAGGTGCGGGCTGTTCACTGCCGTGCGTAACGACGCATGGTCAGTGTAAACGATGAAGGGTCTATCTCCTAATAGATAGACTCTGAACTTCGCGAGTGCATACTTCATGGCAAGTAGTTCCTTGTCATGCACTGGATAGTTCCGCTCAGCTGGTTGCAGCTGACGCGACTGACAGCAGACGACGCGTTCAACGCCTTCAAGATCGTACTGCATTAGTGCACAGCCGATTGCGAGATCGCTGGTATCACAGACCACATGAAATGGCCTGTCCTGATCGGCTATTGCTAGTACTGGGGATTGTATCAAGCTCTGCTTGATACCATCAAAGAAGCGCTGACATTCAGCGTTCCATAACCACCTCTCGTTCTTTTTCAACAAACGAGAGAGGTTTACAGTCATCTTGGCGTAATTGCGTGAATACTTGTGCAATTACGCTGCCAAGCCAAGAAATTTTCGATGACCTCTGACATCAACTGGCACAGGCCAGTCGGTGATCGCCTTAATCTTTTCGGGATCAGGACGTACACCGTTCTTACCAACGATGCACCCAAGAAGTGGTATTTCGCTTGCTGCAAATATACACTTCTTGAGGTTTGCATACAACTGATGCTTTCGCATGTTTGTAAGAACCTGTCGGACGTGGTATCTGTGAAATTCAACGTCCGACTTTCCATCCATAGCCCGACTATGGACAAAGACATCGTCGAAGTAACTCAGTGCGAATTCTCGTACTGGTCTCAACAGATGTGATGCACATCTGTTGAACGTGGCAGGGGTATTACTAAGCCCTTGTGGCATTACTAGCCATTCCCAGAACATGCCGCTAGGCGTGCTCACTGCGGTATAGGGTTTGTCCCGTTCTCGCATAAGGATTTGATAGAAGCCATCCATCAAATCCATGGACGAAAAGATGGTACTCTTTGACATACCATCAATGATTACGTCCTTCCTCGGTATCGGCGTCCGAGCCGGTACCGTTGCAGCATTCAACTTGTTACATGCATGCACAATCCGCCACCCTCCTATTGCTTTTCGCACACAGAAGGTTGGAGAGCATTGTGGGGAAGTTGATTCCCTCACATGGCCCGCAGCTAAACGATCGGCAAAGAACTTGTCGATCGCAAGTACTTGTTCACGAGGCAGTGGCCACTGCTTCATGACACAGTACTTTGAGCCTGGTTTAAGCTCGACCTCGTGTCGAGTATCTTTATCCTTCGGTAATTCGCACGGAACAGTTTCAGGGAATACATCCTTGAATTCAACCAAATCTTCATAGAGAGGATTTGTCTTGAGCGATTCCCACGATTGGGAGTCGTATCGCTCAACTCGTGTCTTCTCATCGAGGACAATCTCGAACATCGATGAACTACTGATAACTCTCTCGTTCTCAGTATTCACTGTTACTGACCTTATGTCGGCTACACACTCGTCGTCAGCGACGAGTCCGCAGATCTGCTTGACTTGCCACTCCGCCGATCACGCAAGAACATTTTATGTTCGAGCGTTGGCAACTGAGTGATCTCCGAATTCAACTTCGGAGGCGCAGTCAGATCAAGTGTGTAAGCGCCTACGCTTGATCCGTTATTGACTATGACATTCAATGTCTCTGTCATTTCCTGGGGACTTATTCCCTCAGGCTTCGAAAGACTTATTCCTTCGGCTTCCCGGGTACTTATTCCTTCGGGTTTCGGGGAACTTATTTCCGCCGTATTCGTAATCTTGGGACTTATTCCCTTAACTTCATCAAGCTGTGGTTGCGCAACCACAGCGAGATCCTCTACGAAAGACTCTCCAGTCGATCTAGGATTATCGTTTCGCTTAACCTGAGCGATCGATGGTTTCTCTTCTAGATGTTCCCCGCTAGGGATACATCTTTGTCGCGGTCCACTCGACTTATTCGAGTGGTGGACCTTCGGTACAGCCTGCGTTTCCTCAAGCCGCCGGAACTTTGCTTCGAAATAACCGTTTAAAACACTAAGGTTTTGTGCAGTCGTACTAACGACCGTACCACAAGTGAGGCCATCACTCACTCGTAGTACATCCACACGCTTGTGGACGCTCCAAAACGTTCATCAGATGGCCATCTGATGAACAAGCGGCAGGCATCGTTACTGTTCGATGTTGCCAGTTAACCCGTGGTTCGTACCTTCTGAGCCACGGTACTCCAAGGATGACATCAAATTTGGCATCCAAATCCAATACGATAAAGTCATCGTCATATTGGGTATCTTCTAGCGTATAGTGAATCTTCACTATACGCTTCATGACGGTTACGGATGCGCCTGTCGCAAGACGTACCGTCATCCTCGTAGGAGGTGTGTCACATTCACTGAATTTAAAGTGACCATCTTCTAGCGATTGGCGTCGCACAAAATTGTTAGACGCCCCACAATCGACTAGAGCTCGAAGGGACAACTTATTCGTCACTTCGAGTTTCAAGGTAATGAGTGAGATCTCATTACCTAGAGCAGCAACGCACAACGTCTGTGTGTTGGGAGCAACCTCCGTCAAGAGGCTTGCAAATTATCTTGACGTTGATGGACCAGTAGGGTGACCCGCACGACTGATCCTGTCCGTTTTTTGACGGTCCATCCCGTTGTTGCGTCTTTGCACCAACAGCGGACCCTCGTCCCTGCCCCTTTTCTCATGGGTGGACGGTCATTACGCCCAGTGTTGCGAGACACTGGACGAGGGGCACTACACTCGTAAGCGTAGTGTCCTGTCTTTTGACATCTGTTGCATTTCTGCGACTTCTTGTAGTCTGTAGAGCGAGCCTTCTCGCTCTCTACACAACAGAGTTCCATCGGCTCTGGACCTCCGCTGTCATATCGTCTCTGTGCACGATATGATGTCGAGCTGGCGCGAGCCTGTCTCAGACTGAAGTCTTCCTGTTCCGCAATGGAAATGGCTTTTTCTAGTGAATCTAGTTCAAGTCGGAACAGGTGAGTCTTGACGGGACCATCCGCAAGACCCTGCATGAACAACGAAACCAACGTGTGTTCATCCACCGGATTGGAACTTATACAACGCGTGAGATGTCGTATATGTTGAGCGTAAGCGTGCACATCACGCTTACCCTGCTTGAGCTTCAAGAGTTCGGTTCGAGCTCTGAACTCAGCTCTAGGCGGTTCAAACGTTTGTCTGAGCCGCGACTTGAAGACTTCTAACGACCCAAACGCATATGGGTCGTGCAACTTGAGCCCCAGTGCCCAAGTCTTGGCACGTCCTGCCAGATTTGATTGGGCAAATGCACCTTGCATGTCCCCGTCGTCGATGTGACGCGCCCTTATGGCATCGTCTGATTCGACGAACCATCTCAAGAGGGAGTTCTCTTCGACTCCCCTGTACTTGGAGATGTCAATCTTTTAGTTTTCGGGTCGACGCGAGTGCATCGACCCACCAGCAGCAGCCTGCTGCTGTCTCAACAGTTCAAACTGTTGAGCACCCTGTTCTCTCAACAACTCTGCTTGTTGAGAACCTTGTTGGTGAAGCAAGGCTACTTTCTCGCGTTCAGCGTCAAGTTCATTTTCAATGAACTTGGCGATAGTAGCATGTTGGGCATCTCTATTGAAAGCCTCTAGCATGACGCTAGCAGCATGAATGCTCATGGTTGAACCCATGCGTTCAACCGCATCCCATTCGACATCGTTCAAATGGGAGTAGCCGTCACGCGTAGCGTGAAAGCTTTGGTCATCTTCATCATCCAACATATTCATGTTAGATGTGAACGTGGTCCTTGGACGGACTACGAAGTGCTACAAGGTGTAACGGGGCACCCTGAAGCTTGTACTGGTGACAGTACAAGCTACTTATTCTGATGACAGAATAAGGCGGTGCCTTGGAACTCCACGTACACTAGTACGTGCAGAGGAAGACGGTAAGGAGAAACGAGTACTTGGTTGAGGTAAAAAGTAGAACTGTATTTATAATAGTTAATGTCTGTTAATAAATCACTATTTATCCTCATCTAACTATGTCTGAATACAAATGTGTATATTAACTATCTGCTCACCACTCATTGCGTGCGTCTGTCGTGGCGCGTCTTCGTTGGTTGATATAATGGCCTACATCAACCAATTACGGACTACTCGTAAGTGCTGCAGAATATTGTCCTTATGACAACATTCTGAGAATATAACTCTTATAGTTAAATTCTATTTACAATTTCTTATAAATTATTATGTAACGATTCACCCCGTTACAAGAACACAACCAGAAACAGACTTACGGTCCGATTTGTCCGCCGCAAAGTCTGCGTCGCTCCAGCACTCAACTTGCATGTCCTTGGAAGCCGATACATCGCCGCCCAGATGAATCTTTAAATCCTTTGACATCTTCAAGTAGCGCATGATTCTCTTTGCAGTTTTTCAGTCCTTGGTCGCTGGCTTGTGCGTTTGTCTTGTTGCCTTGTGCACCGCAAAGCAAATTTCAGGCCGCGTGCACCTTGCTTTCCATAGCAAACTTCCCACCATCGACTGGAAAGACTTCACGCTTGTGTAGTCTTTGGCACTGCTCGCTGATTAAAATTCTTGAACATCATCATCTTCGAGATTGCATATGTCCCCAATCGGAGTCCTCCTTCCGTTCGCCGATTCCAGTCCGAACTCCTTCAACAGCAACTCAATAGTTACTTGTTGTTTCTGGATGTATCCCTTTGACTCGTCTAGTTCAATGCGCAGTCCTAAAAACTTGTTCATGACACCCAGATCCTTTATCGATAAGCATGCCATCTCAGTGAAGAAGCTGTCGACCGCACTTCGCTAAGTCCTCGTGACAAGCAGATCGTCAACGTATACCCCTTCCACCGTGTATGTTTCGCCTTAATACTTGAAGTACAAGCACATGTCTGTCATGCGTTGTCTGAAGTCGATCTGTCGCAACTTGGAGTCGAGTAGCTTGCTCCAGAGCCTTCCGGCTTGCTTATGTCCATACAGTGAATTTTTCAGCAGTAGTGCCAAGTCGTTCGTTGACTTCGTTCCCATACCCCTGAGCTCATTTTCGTCCATGACCATCCCTTTGGGCACCTTCATTTAGATGTCCAGATGCTCCCCCTTTTCGGGCTTGAGGTATGCGTTGGGCACATTACCGTGTCGAGATGGTACCTTCCAGCGTCTCGAAAGCATTAGAATCATCTTCACTGTGCTTAAGTCCATCACCACTGCGAAGGTGAGGTTGTAGTCGACTCCGAAAACTTGTTCGTTCCCGCAGACGACTAACCGAGCTTTGTATATTCCTATGCATCCGTTCGCATCCGTCTTGGCCTTGCATACCCACTTGTTGTGCAGCACGTGGGCGTCCTCGGGTGGCACAACGATCGTCCACACGTCGTTCGCCTTCAAAGCGTCAAATTATTCAGTCATGGCAATCTTCCACTTTTGCTGATGTTTGCTCTTGACCGCTTCACTATAATGCTTGGGATCTTGTGCTGTGATAGCATTGACGACATCTCTGGGTTTAGAAGTATCTTCGCTTGATATTTATTTAACTTGCTGTGTGGTGGTCGGTCTTGTCACAGGACGTTTCCTTGTCCATCTAGGTTCGCGACCCTTGCGATGCTTGTCGGTATGTCTCTTGCTGCTTCGTTGTATCTGAGAATTCAGCCGGTCGACCATCGTCAACTCCTCCTGGCGGCGTATTCCATCTTGATGCGGGTCAAGGTGCTCATTGGACGACAACAATTCAATGTTCTGAACGTGATGAGTCACCAAGACCACCTTATCCTTGGAAATGTACACCTGGTGCCCCTTCGTCTCATCTATTTTTCCGATGACGATGGCCGCCCTCCCGCGCTCTCCGAGCGACTTATTTCTTGCATCCACGTGGACGGTGCAGACTGATCCGAATGTCACGATGTCAGTCAACGTGGGCACCTTCGTCGTTAGGAGCTCCATCGGGTATATTCCACCCGGGTTCGACTTGGTCCTGCTTCGATTCAGGATGTACGTCGCCTACTCCGCTGCATCACCACAGAACGTCAAGGGTAAGTATGAGGCGAACACCATGCTTCGTACCATAATCATGATGGTCCAGTGCATGCGTTAAGACTTGCCGTTGCTTGCTTGATTTCTGGCTTCGCTGACTTGACGCGAGATCCCGATTTCCTTGCAAAACACGTCCAGAGTCTTGTACTTCCCGCCTCCTTCTGAGCGTAGCACTTGGATCTTGCAATTAAACTTACGTTCGAATTGCACGAGGGAACGCTTAAACTTGAGCGCAGCAACGTCCTTAGTCTTAATCAGGAAAACATGGTAGCAGTCGGACCTATGATCAACGAAATTCTCCCTGCTACCGGTTACCCAGACGGTCCCGTGGGGTCATCGGTCTTTTCAGACAACTGCATATCACACCACCGATGACATCGATAGGTGAGTGAGTGCCAGTGTCCATCTTCGACTGCGCTTGATTAGTCTTTTTGCGTTAAGAACACGATAAACAATTTAGGCGTGTTGTGTTGGTCAGCTTGATACATGACGCGAGGTCCTTGGCCATCTTGATGATCATATCAAAACATAGATGACTGAGTCTTCGATGGAAGTGCATTAGGCTACCGCACTGATCACTTGAAACGAGATAACATCCAGATGAATTATAACAGCCAGCATCGACTCTCGTAAAGCACCATTGACCATCCTACGAGGTCTCAACACATTGACAACAAGCACGTTCTTGTGCGATCAACATCCATAATCGGTACACCCTTTGTCCCGGAGGCCAACACGCGTCTCCCTCCTTGTAACGGGTTTGCACGAAATTATGGTACGTTGTACCAGGGGTGTTACACACCTGATGTTATCCCTTTGTGAAGGTGATATCGAATATCTTATTGGTTTGTAGGGGCTGACGAGTGTCAGCCATTAGGTACGAAAGATCTTTGAGTAGGATTAAGATATTATATAGGCTTTAACAAAATAAAATCAGTTCCCATTTTGATCTGAAGGACACGTGGCTTGCGAGCCGTCTTAATCGTTGATCACTGATCACTAAGAGCTAGCGACACCTCCTTGAGGTAGCTACTCTTGATCACTGAGTGCTGTCGATTCACTGAATCGTTAGGGCCCCCTGGAACAGGGACCTGAAGCTGTAAAGCTTGTTGACTCGTAAAGGCATTAGTTCTTTGGAACTAAGTTGCTTGTAGAGCGTTAAGTCTTCCTCTGACTTAAGGAGCTGTGTAGCTCCGCTACACTTGGTAGAACTTGTATTCAATCTACGCCTGAGTCTTTAAGAATGATCCCCTGTGAGGATGGCAAACTCCACTCCCCTCTCTGAGGCCCAAAAGGTCGCTCTTGATGAGCTGACCGCATCTTTGGGTCCAGAGTACGTGGAGTTCCTTGTTTCACAAGGTCCTGAATTGCTTAATGCACGTGTTGAAAGCTTCATGCAGTATGAAGCAAACCATCTAGGGAAGGTCCAAGACCAAGTAGCGTCGGCTATGCCTACACGCTACGTGTCTTTACCAGACGAAGAGGCTAAGCCTCGTCCACATTGAGTGGAAGTAAAAAACTACTCCGGTAAAGAGGGTGAGAACCTCATCCTCTGGATCCGTGAGATCGAGATGGCCATGAGATCAGGTCTGATCACGCTTGACCATCAACAGGTCTCGCTGGCTATCTCGAAGCTCGATGGTAAAGCTAGAGAATGGGCCTTGACGTGTAGCACGTCGGTAGACATAGCGTTTCCTACATGGGAGTCGCTCAAGTCACAATTGGTACAGGAGTTTTCTCCACCTAACCAGGCTTACCGCGTGCGTTCACGCTTTCTTTCTACTCGCCAGGGTAAAAATCTACTATCGGACTATGTCCAAGAGCTGCGAACGCTCATGGCTGCAATACAGTCTGACCCTCTGCCTGAAGCAGTCCTTGTGACTATCTTCATGGAAGGTCTACGTACTGGCATTGCCAGAACCGAGGTTTTTCGGGTTCACCCCTCTACGTTTGATGAGGCTGTGAGAATTGCTCTTAATGCTGAGCATAACTTCAAGTCAGCCAGACTTGGTTGGAATGGATACAATCCTAGCTCTGTGAGAGCAAACTATTCGGGCACCACTGCCTATAATAGGCCGGAACCGATGGATCTCAGCTATGCTGAAGATGGAGGTGAAGCTGAGCTTCAAGCGGCTGAGCAGCAACACGTCGTACGACGATGATTTACGTGCGGAAGCACTAAACACTTGCGGCCTGGTTGCCCATTGCGTAAGCAACGCCAGGCTACGAGCCAACACTCGACCCCGAGTCAGAAGTCTGGCATGGCACGGGGAAATGCCGACACCCAGTAGGCGCGGGGCGCCCTACTGGGGAAGAACAATGTTCTGTTACACCTTTAGAAGGTAAAGGAATGCAGGGCTTATCCCCAAAGAGTACCATACCTACAGGTATGGTGCGTGGATACAAGTCTGGCTTGTTGGTCGCCGAGGCGAAAATGAAGGGCTTTGAGAAGCCTTGGTCGATATTGATCGATTCTGGAGCGTCTTGCAATTATGCTCGACGCCGTTCTCTTGAGGGAAGTCAGCGTTATGCCGAGGCGCTTACAGAGCATGAGGGTGATTCTATCACGGTTCGTTTAGCGACTGGAAGTCGCGTAACTGTGCCCAAAGTTCCATTGAACTTAGGTATAAAGTTTTTAAACTTTGACAGTATTGAGCGCTGTCTTGTCCTAGATTTGGACTCGAGATATGATCTCATCCTAGGTATGGCTTGGCTTGGGCGCAATGAGCCATGGATTGATTGGAGGTCCAAGACCTTAGGCGCTACACGCAATGTTCCTGGCGAAGATTTGGAGAGTCATGAACCCACCTTCGCTAGGCAACAAAAACACTACTGGCGTGAGCCTTTGACAGAAGATGTCAATGTGCTGGATATTGGAATGTCGGAGTTATCTAACTCCAATGTTACAAACATAAGTTTCGAGCTTAGCTCGTCTAGTGAAACATCACGTACTCCATTGAGTGTTACTCGTTGTGATAACGAGTCACTGCATGCTGAAAGCATGGTTGGCCTAGGGTAGAGTGATCAAGGATGTGATTCCTTTGATGTGTGTATGGTGGCACGTAAGACTACATCGAGTGCGGTCGGCCGTGAGAGCACCGCACTGAATGTCGGTAATGACATTTTTGGCGATACGCCATTTAGTGTGGGCGGCCGTGACGGCACCACGCTTAACGTCGGTAATGGCGTTGTTGGCGATTCGCCATATTGCGTGGGCGGCCGTGAGGGCACCACACATAATGTCAGTAATGATATTGTTGGCGATACGCCGTATAGTGTGGACGGCTGTGAGGGCAACACGCTTAACGCCGGTAATGGCGTTGTTGGCGATACGCCGTATAGTGTGGGCGGCCGTGAGGGCAACACACCTAATGTCAGTAATGATACTGTTGGCGATACGCCGTATAGTGTGGACGGCCGTGAGGGCACCACACCTAATGTCGGTCAAGACAAAAGCTCTCGTATAGTGCGTACTATGGTTGGTAGTAACCACGGGGATAATATTGTCCATACCCCTAAGAGGTGTGAGGTCTCGAAGAGACAATCGAGACGCCGGGTAACAACTGTAAAGCGCCAGGCGTCCACACAGTCACATAGTAATAATAGTAGTACACTATACAAACTTGTTAATGGAGATACTGGTCATGTTGATGGCAGTGTTTTTCTTGAAACCAATCCATCTTTGGACGCTCTTTGTGAGCTAAACGAAATGTCTG